AAGAAGAAAGAGAGGAGCAGACTAAGAAAGCAGAGAGGAGAAAAGACATGAATGACAGTAGAGAGGAAAGCAGCCACAGAACGGGCAGAGCACTTCCCATCAGACACTGTTTCACCAGTCATTGCACAGAACGCAAGTTAACCTGACTTATGTCTATGTGTTACACATTGCTCTCACAATTTATGCTCTTGCATAAATAATGCACATGGCCAGCTGAGTTGAAGGAAACCCATAAATCTGGTCTTGTTTTCATTTATGTATCCCTTTCTATTTCCTTTAGCACCCTATGATCCTCTCAGTCAGTATTCTTTGGCGCTCATCTGCTCTGTTCCATTTTCCAACATCTTATATAAAGGTATTCAGTGTAAAGTCTTTGTTTCACGTCAGCAAAAAAATAGATATTCTGTCTCTCTTATACAACAATCATACGTCAGAGCGCCATTCAAAAGCCTTGATCTAGTTTTTAAATAAAAAATAAGGGTTGAATCTGCAATACAAAGTAATCTAAAATATTTTATTTTTACACAACAATTCGTACTGTCAAAATAGGTTATTTTTGATCTATCAGAATACATTTCGGAAAAAAGCCGTTCTCAAAATATAGAGTTTGAAAGGACATGTAGAAAATTTAGTATATTCAATAAGCTAAACTAAGATAATAAGGTCTTATTTGCCTATGATTGCTGAACTCATTTGCTCTTATTTTGTTTAGGCCTGATTTTTGTATGTTGTACATCAAAAACAGACCTAATACTGCCTTCAGGCTAGTAACATTTAAATGGGTGATGATACATGCTAACCCACAAACATGGATCCATTCCACAGCTTTTAGGTCAACTTGTATTCAGAGAATCCTATGGTGAATTTTCAAAAGACCATTCTTGGATAAGCTGTCAGGAAACTCTTTTCATGTTTTTAAATAGAAAAAAGAAAAAAAAACATACTTTTCAGACTGAGCATTCGCCATGAAATATCATAGCAAAGAAAAGATTTTCTATCTAAATATACAAAGAAATAGGAAGATAATAGTATAGCCTTCCTTTGTTACATAAAAATATGTATATATAAAAAATATATCATGCAAAAGCACAGGGAAATTATAAAACCATTTTAACACGAAGGCAGCATCTTTGATAAGCATCCACGGGGTAAGCTTGGTGCATGCTAGCTTTACCAGGAAGAGTTTATACAGAACAAAATGATCATTTATGCGTTTTGAACAGATTCCACACAGACATTCTTGACATATGCTGGCTTTTTGTTTCCATCTTTCTCTAACTGAAGCACAACTAAAATGTAAGATGGACACTTTTCCAAAAGAAAAGTGATGGTGAAGCACTTTTCTGTTGCTTTCATAACGCTCACAAACCGATTTGGGCATTCCTGCCACCTTGTGGCCGTAGTAATTCCCGGCTTCTTGACAGTGGCTGCAGAGCATTACAATAGTTGCAAAAAATATTTGATTTCTCATAGTTTTAATACTTCACTGACTACACACACAAAAAAAGTGAAGTATCATAGCTCATCCCTACTGCATAACGTCAAGTGTGGAAATACAGTACGTGTCAGAAACTAAGCTGTGCTTAACTGACTCATCTTTGAAAATTAAATCAGACTGAAGTCTTCACATAAAATAGTGGAGACTAAACCAAATTGTCTTTCCCTGTTTTTCATAGTAGATGGAAAGATAAATGATAATGTTTACTTGACTGCAGGCAGTCAGCCCACCGCCCTCACTCCAGAGACCAAATTAATACCACTGTAAACCCCCATTGCCCTTCAGTGGCAACAGCAGTCCCCACTGTGTGTGTTTTTGTATGTGAGCGTGAGAGAAACAAGGAGATGTGAGAGATGACTGAATGCGGCACTCTGACCAAAGCTCCCCTCAACGAACATTAGTCGATTATCTACTCCAACATCATAGTCAGATCACTGCCCAAGCGACTAATCAACACTGACATCAAGACTGTGGCGATGCAATACTTTTTTTGAAAGCCATGTATGTTGTCCTCCAAGACAAAATTGTAAATATAATAAAGTAATTTCTTCTCATGGAATTCTGTAAGATGTTGGTTAACAAAAAAATACAGTGATTCACCAAGTAGTTTGTAGATCATGTCAATAAATATGTTGTTGTCTAAATGACCATCTTTGAGTTTAAGTTAGTACTACAATACTATGTTGGAAAAGTTAAAGCATTAATAACTGGAATTGTTGCTGCCAATGTTGCCTGTGCCTCTTTTCCTAGGAATTTATTGCTTTCTGGATATTGACTGGGGGAAAAAAAGAAAAAACTGCCCTAAAATGAATCCCTTATGTTTAGATTTCTCTTTCCACCGTTCATCTTTTTTCACAGTTTGTCAAAATGTACGATTTTCACCAAAAAAAAGCGTACATTGTCACCAAAACTCCCTTTCGAGCCCACATGAAGAGCCCGACCTCCCATTTCTGTAATACAGAACATTAGTCTAATATACTGATAGAAAATTCCATTTTAGCTCCATCACTGCCCACCCACACAACAGCGCTGACATTCAGAACTACGCTTCCAGAACTTTGAGTAACATCTGGTCCGTTATTGGAAAGTCATTAGACAGATGTTACTTATGTACTGATGTATCTTACTTATCACTAAGTGCCTCCTTGCAAAGACGCCCAAACAAATATTCAGTAGAACTTAAGAGTCAATTACCAATATCGAAATAGCTTCAAAGTTGTAACACGCCCCGTCCCTCACCTTGCCGAGTTGTATCACTCAAGCGCTAAAAAAGAAGACGCCAAAGATTTATTTGGAAGGGGAGTATTTTTCTGTTCCTTATTTTTTCCTCATGTTCTTACCTTTTCCGCCGAGAGCGCAGGAGGGGCCCCATAGAAGCCAAAACAGTAAAACCGGGACCAAATGCCTCTGCATGTTTCTCGAGCAGTTTATAGGTGATGCCTTCGCGTCCTCTCCTCTCCTCAAATTCTGGCTCAGCTCCCGAGCGCGAAAGTGTTGTCAGCTGGACGGTCGCGTGGGGTAATGTCTGAGGGTCGAGAGACTGTAGCTGTAACTGTAAGCAGAGAGGGAGAGAGGGGGGAAGCTATCTGAGCCGTCAAGACAGCGTTAGAAAATGAATGTTTCCGGATGACCCGTTTCAGTATAAAACGCAAAATGTCGGCAAGCGTCGCTTAGTGGGAAATAAAAACGTCCTCATTAGGCTTGGCCTCTAGGGTGGAACTTAAACTAATCAAAATGACGTTATGTCGATTCCATTGGCTTAAAAATACAATTAATCTCAAATTAAAAAAAAAAGAATGTAACGATTTTATTTTTGAAGAATATGGAGGCTTTTCAGTTTATGCCAACTGGAATTGGTTGAAAACTTCGCAGTTTGTTCAACAAAAGGGAAGGAGCAAGGAGGAGATGATTTGTTTGTTACTTTAGCGTTGATAGAATGCAGGACTGTTGAGGGGCAAAATGCTTAAAACGAGACAAGAAAATCAACATCCAATTTGACTACAGGCCATGTAGAAACTGAGGTACCACACATTATCAATTAGCCAAGCCAGAGCCCTAACCCATCTAAGAAGCTGTGCAATTATATGTCACTGTAATCCAGCTGCAGTCTGAATTATAAATTCTTTTTATTTAGCATTTTCAGTAGCCATTGTTTTTTTTACTGATTCATCGCTCCTATTCGGTGATATTTTTTCTTGTTGTGTTCTCCCAACCAGAACCCTCGAACAGGAAAGCTTTACTCCCCCTCATAGAACTGAATTTTCCTATGTTCAACCCCCTGGCAGAAACACTGTTTTTCTCAAATGGCCACATGTTCTCCTGTAATTCCCCTCGCTTCTTCTTCTTCTTCGTCCTCTTCTTCTGAGTGTGGGTGTGTGTTCTGGGGATTAGAGAGAGGAAAGACCTCATGTGAGTAAAGAGGATAACAAAGGTACAGAACATAAGCACCATAGCAGATACAAAGATGACCATATTTACATGCAATAACTTGCACACACATATTCCCAACTGGCTGTTTCCAAGGCAAATGGCAGCTAAGATACAGCAGAGCACTGGCAGGGGGAAGGATGCAGAGTTATGAGCAGACTGTCCTTCTAATGTGATTCAAGCTACCAAGTCAGCAATTATTCATGATGGGGAACAGGAGATTTCTTTTTCTATAGTGGTTTCACTGAGGAAATCTTTGTTTTTCTTTAACAAGTAAATATTCCTTGAAAATGTTACCTTTTCCTAAAAAAAACAACTTCAACGCGAATTAATTGAAGCCATGCTACAATTGTTATTTGTGTGATCCACAATGGCTCCAAGCCACTAGGATGTCCTTCTGTTAGGATTTCAGAAAGATAGGGAATACAACTGAAAATGCATCTTTAACCTCAGTAGATAATATGTGCAATCTCTTATACAAGCATAAACAATCCCTAGATTGGAGTGTGTTCCTTTTTGTGATGATTTGACCCAGGGATTTGTGAAAAACCGTTGCATGTGGATTTGATTTGATTCATATTCATCTGAAGTTATTCTCATCCCTCTGAAAAAAGGCTGAGACATTTGAAAAGCGACTTACTCTACAACCATTTTGCTTGCATGTTTTTATACAAAAAAGAAATGATCAACTACAAAGCCTCCTTTTTATTTGGTAAGCCTTTTCAACAACAAAAAAACTGGTGAGAAGGCGTACACTTGCTTTGCTGCAAAGGTCAATGTTATTCAGTGTATGTGCAATAGTGGGCTACTGCACAGGACAAATGCTATCATTACCCACACAATAGTACAATAAACCAAAACTCATTGTAAAAGTTTAATGTTCCTGGCAAACGATTCTTTTCCTTGGTTTCAAATTTTATTTCAGTACCATGGACAGCCCCTCCGCTTAGTTTAAAAATGATCATTTTTTATTTTCATCCACAAGGGGTCGCCCTTTTGTCGGGTTTTTGCAGCGGAACCATCAAGCAACCGCTGCGCTGAGCCGGGGGAGCAGAACGACTGTTACACATTGACCAAATGTGAACCGAAGGTAAAGAAACGACTTGACACGTTAGGTAAACGCGACGTAGGATGGACTAACACTCTTTGAAGATGCAGCTTTTCTTTTTTAGACACAACTTAATTTAATTGTCTTACTGTCTCCTGTGATCCAGTACAGCTCGCTAAGCAAGTTCAATGTCAAGCCAGACTATCTGTACACGAAGTTGTGACTTTACTTCAGTCAGTCAGATTTTACTGATCATGGGCAGCTCAAGTACAGTAACTTATTATGCGTATTTGTTTTGCAGAGAATAACACGCGATCCGTTATTAAAGTCAGGCAACATTCGGGAAATGTAATGACATAATGGCCAGAAAGATTAATGGTGCTGAGATTGCATCCTATTGATAAATGGGTGAAGAATTGTCATAATAGTGCTGTCTGGCATTTTATCTCCAGTATATGTTTACAGCAGAGAAAAAGATCGGCGCAGTTATGGGAAGCCTTGTATAGCAGTTGCTTATAAATACATTATATCTAAATCTAAGCATACAGTATGAGGGATGTTCTGTTTTTATTTGCTATCTCCTCAATGTATCATAACTCCAATCACAGTGTTTTATTCCTTTTTGCTGTTCTCAATGGCTCTTAGAACAAGGTGTGAGACGGTAAATCAAGATGACCACCTGTCGTGTTCCACTATATTTGTTAGCCTGTGGCTCTTTTAATCCAATCACCAATCAGCACATGAGGCTGTTTGAGCTGGCCAGAGACCACATGCACAGCACAGGTCAGTCCTGGGTATCGCAAAACCAATTGTCTGCTAGTCCTTCTATTTTTACTATATAAATTGCCCTCCTGAAAGATTTTTTCTCTTACAGTCTAGCTGAATTATAGCTTTAGAGTAACAATCAAATCATTATGTGTTTTATGTACTGTGCATGCCCGATTGGAAGCTATAGAGGGAGTTTCTAACTATCTATTATCTCTACCTACTTATTCAAATTCAGTGTTGTGGAGGTGCCATAATTTTCAATTATTAAAATTTACAAACCCAGAATTCCAGCTTGGTTTCCAGGTTAACTCCTCTTCCCCCTGTGAAATAGCAATAAAGCTGAAGACAAGATGGAGAAAGTGAAAGAGCACAAATGCACAAATAAACTTGTCTTAATCTCAGATCTCCTCAAAACCTTGTGGGAGATGTTACAATAGCTAATTATAAGTTAATTCTTCTGCTCTGTAAGGGATTAGGTATAGTTTAGGTGTTGTGTCTACTCAACACATGTGTGTTCAGTCAGAGGCCTCCTCCATTCCTGCAGGTATTTTCCAACCAACAAAAAGGACTCTACATTAGGATGTATTGTATTTTAAAAAATCGAAACAATCATGAACTTTTTTACTTCCCTTTGTTATTGATAAAGTGTTTGGTAATTCTATATACGGTAAGTGTATTTATTCTATTTTGGTGTGGTTCAGACATGGGTAATGTTGTGTCTGTAGAGCATTCACACCACTACTCAGCGATTGGTTAGTCTTGAAAGATCCACTCTGCATTAGTGTAATTCCCAAATTGTCCTGATCTGTCTGTCTTCTTCTGGGTCTTGACTGAGAGGACCTACTTTATTTTGTTGACTGTTGTGGTGGTTAGCTCTGTGGTTTCACAGCAAGAAGAGCCCAGCTTAAGATTCCTGCTGAGGTGGAGTTGGCACTTTTCCCCTGATCCTCTTTTAGATTTTAGATTAGTTTGTGGTTCTGAAATGACCATAGAAATGAAAGTCATTGGTTGCTTATCTTCTGTGATGCATTTTCCCCCTGTCCAAAATGTACCCCGACTTTCACCCGTTGCCTGCTGGGATGGACTCATGTGACCACTGATCATGATTAAGATATATCATGTATGGAAGATTGCATGATGCGTATCAAAAAATAATTTATGCATCCTGTCAATTTAAGTCCCATGGCAGAAAACTAATGGCAGATTGCATTTTGAAGTTCTCTTCTCATGTTTATTTTGCTGTAAGAAGGTTATTTGTTGAGCACAACAGCTGTTTATCAATCAGAGATGCTCTTTATCATATTTTAGGACCTTGAAATAAAACTTGAAGCATTAATTAGTGTGGTTTAACAGCATATGTTTATCTCTTAATGGGGTGTTTACAAAATAGGGGTAAAAGACATGGAAGTTACCAGTAAGGCAAGTGTAGATGACATCTGGTTTTGTATATTTGTTGTAAAATTAGGCATTTTCATTTTCATGGTGCTAATGTAACAACACATGATAATGACAATGTTATCCAATGTGTTTGGAACGTTTTCTGCCCTCAGTGGCAAAAAAGAAAAAATCATCACTCAATTTCTAATAACCCACCTTCTCATATATTTCACAAACTATGTTGTTCATTTACTGGGTTTATTATTGTGGTTTATAAACAGAATGACAAAAAATGTTAGCCTCTGCGTGTATTTCAATGCTGCTGTTTAGGCTGTTGTGTGGAAAAAAGATCCTGACGTATGGTGTCAGGAGACACAGTCTCCTTATGTAAATTCAGGAAAAATGTACATGTAAGGCTGCCCTGAATAGGGCCTCCTATCCTCTCACACAGCTAGAACAGCATCATTGTACCATAAGTATTACACTGATCTTGAGTCAGCTCTCTCATTTTAAGATGCTTTGTGAATGTATACACAGCAGCATTCCATTTGGCAGGAGCATTAATGCTCTTACAGCTTTTCCCTTTGACCTATAAGACCTCAGCTGACTTATTTATTTATTTATTTTGCTGTTTAATATTGTGCCACAAATACATCTGTTTCAGGCATAACCACAATATTCCTATAGGGAAGGTTTTGTCCTGCTCACTGCTTTTAGTTCTCCAAACCCTTAAGTTATTCTGAAATTAGTTACACCCAGTCTTGACCATGTACCCATACCATCCACTGATACAATAATTAAGTTTAGAATTTATCTTCAAATGTAAGATCTAAGGGAGCATTGATGTCACTTACATTAATATCTCTGCTAGGATACTGTATCTAATGAATAATATTCTATGTCCTTATCAGCTGCCATGACCCAGAAAAACTGCATTAATATTTTCTCCCTTCAGGCCAGTACCAGGTGGTGGGTGGCATCGTGTCTCCAGTGAGTGACGGCTATGGAAAGCAAGGCCTGGTGCAGGCTCAGCATCGCATTGCTATGGCAAAGCTGGCACTCCAGAGCTCCAACTGGGTCACAGTTGATGAATGGGAGAGCCAACAGCCAGACTGGACGGAGACAGTGGTCACAATGAGGTATGCAGCACTGCTAGTGTAAGCTTTAATATGGCCCTGTTTGAAATAAAAGCTCCTTAGGTAATTAAATAGAAATTATTTGTCTTTTTTTTTTACACGTTTTGTCACCTTTGGTCAAAGCACCTAACTCATGATTACAGCTTTTAATACCTGCAGTCAATACTTTGCTATCAGGGTGTAAGGAGACCTATTTTTATATTTATTTAATTTGTGCAGACAAGATTACATTGTTTTAACAAAAAAGGGTTTTGTAAATGTACTTTTGCTAATGGAGGTATTTCAACTCATTTCTCCTGTCATACAAATATTTATATCATTATTAGTATGCTAACCTTAACCTTTTTTTGCGCTGCTTTTTTTCCTTTTAATTGGTTGTCGTTTTACTGCAGTTCACAGGAGGATGCTCTCATTTACTGCACCTCTGCCAGCCCTTCATTATGCCAACTGTTTATTTAACAAAGTGTTGCCAGTCTTCCTGCCTCTAAATTACAGGTTTCTGTCTCCAGTGGGCCACAGAACTAGACTGGGCCCATATTAGATTTGTTCTTTTTCTCATGGGGCGAAAAAAAGGGCACAAGCTGTTAAGTTCATTGTCTGAGGGGGAAGGATGCAGTGGCAAGATGCTCTCTTGAGGCAAAGAGAGGGGTAGTGTTCTGAGCAAGAGGACATTAAAGATGAAAAACCGAGTGTACCAAGCAGAATTATGCATAACACAAAAAAGCACTTTTCTCACACAATATGAGCACGTGATATAAAAGTAATACACCTCCCCTATTTTAGAAAGGGTCCAACCTGCACTATTTAGATTCTTCTTCTTCTGGGTTTTTATTTCTTCTTCTTGGTCTCTGCTCCCCACTTCTCAACAACCCCCCCTCATGACTGGAACCCACATTCCACTCCCAGCTGGTCGCCTGTAAGCCGGGTTTGTGCAACACAAGTGCTGATCATGGTATGAAGTGAACTGTTGTCCCCAGACTGTGAGCGTGCCACGTCACACACAAGTGCTGGACGGCTTTAAGAAGCTTTACTAGGAAACAGTGAAGTTTTTCATTCATCTTTTTTTTTTAACGTGTTCCTCTTAGAGTCGTGAACATTTCACTTCCTCTATTTTAGATCAGTTTGAAAGACAGTGTGTTGCCACAGTACATGAAGAAGTCAATTAAATTCATCATGACTAGTACACAACACAGTATTAATACACTTCAATGAAACAACACAGGTACAGGAAACAATCCAACACATGGAACATTTGGTTTATGACACTAATGTTAAATCAATTAAGTCTCAAGAATTTTATTTTCCTTTGTTTTGTTTTTTGTCAGGCATCATTATGAGCAAATTCTGAAACGGGAGCAGAGCACTGGAACACACAGGGGCTCCATTGGAAACACCACTTCCATCTCAAGTAAGAATCTCCTATTGTTGGCAAATTGGGGTCAGTCTTGTAATCACATGACCAGTGACTGCTGAATGACATTTAAATTTGGCTTTGCCTGTAAATTCTTCACATTTTGTGAGGCAGTGGACTTCAGACAAACCTGAAATATCTTAACAACTATTTGATGAATTGGCATGATATTTTGCTGCCCTTTTTCAGACCTAGAGGAAGGTTTTTTGTACCTTTAGCGGTCCACTGACCTTTCTTCCAACTCAAACAGCAAATCTTAGTGTGACTAACCACTGTGGCTTATGATCAAATACCTACAACACTAATGGCGTCCTTCCCCTGGCGTTTTTGTTTTTAGCACTAATTTGCACCTGAACTTAGATGGGGAATATGGTGTGTATTATATGTGCTAACCATAAGAGAAACATTGCTTTCACATCTTGTCAGATTCCAAAACATCTGCAGTGCCACCACATACGCTTTTGATGCTCTCGAGAGATTGTATTCTTACCAAAGACCGAAATGGGGAAAGGTTCACGTTTCTCGCTCTAAGTATAATTAAACATTGTAACAAGAGCAAGTGGCTGGAGTGTTCACTGATAAAATTCACAATTGCCGAAGTGTATTTTAGATGAGTTTTCACACCCTTTATTATTATGCCTATGACCATAACAGCAGTTTAATCTCATGTGCTTTTGAGAGACTCTGGCTAGGTTACTCCAGGCCTTCCTCAGTTTCCATATTCTGTGTTTTTTGTGAGCATGCCTCGGGTAATTGTCTTGTGAAAACCATAAAAGATACAATTCAGACTAAAATACTTTTCTCTCTCAGAAATGGTCCTATGTACTTCATCTATGTTCTCTTTATTGTGACTGTCCTCCCACATCCATGTCGCAGGTCTGTAGGTATGAGGGGCTCTGATTGGAATTGTAGCCCGAGAGTTTAATAAGAGTTTAAGTTTCCTTCAGATTATTTTCACTCTCGTGATCTGAAAGTAATTTTAGCAGCTTCTGTGAGGAATAGCTTCTATTTTTTTATCTGCTCTGTACACAAATTACATAATTCATGTGTAATATTGAATCGTGAGATAGTGAAAGTTTCATTTTATTGTTTATTGCAGAAAGTTTTTGATTGGATGAGTCCAATAAAACATGCAATATCACTACAGGGGATGCTGATGGGTCAATGAAAGTTTGATCTCTGTTTTAATCTTGATATATTCTAGTTTGGGTGCATTATGTGAGTATTTTCTAAGTATTTTTGCATCTGTATTTTAAAATTTTTTTTTGAACTGCTAGAATTTGAAGTGATGTTATTTTCTCTGGCCTCTACCTACCAGATTTCTATTTCTTTTTCTTAAATAGTAAGTCAGTGAGGTAGTTGTACTGGCCTCATTCTTTATGAATATGTATTTCTTTCATTTGATATACAACTGCCTACAACTCTTAAATGGTCCCCCTGGAGAGTTTGAGCAGTCAATCAACCATTTATATTCTGCAATTCTTTTATGTTGATTTTTAGGTAGCCGACACGTAAGCCAATTCCCCTAAACGTATATGAAGATCAATGATTTGATAAAAAAAACATAAAAGCAGGGACTTAAGTAGTCTAAAATGTGTTTACTTTTGTATTTTCTGATGTGCTTTGACATCAGATTATATGAGAGTGGAAATGCTGATAATAGACATTTATTGTTGATTTGTTTTGTAGATTTACAGTATTGACACTTCATAATTAATAATCTTCTTCTTCACATTCTTACACTGCCACTCCTGTCAGCTTTATCTCCACAGCTGAAACTATTGTGTGGAGCTGACTTTTTGGACACCTTCAAGACCCCGGGCCTGTGGCTACACGGTCACGTGGAAGAGTTGGTCAGCCATTTCGGCCTTGTCTGTGTCACCCGAGGGAGTCTGCAGCCCGAGCGCGCCATACATGAATCAGACATGTTGTACCGCCACAGAAAAAATATCTTCCTAGTCAGGGAATGGGTAAGGAATGACACGAGTGCCACAGAGGTCCGGCGCGCGCTGAGACGGGGTCTGAGTGTGAAATACTTGATCCCAGATTCTGTGATCAAATATATTCACCAGCATAACCTCTACACTGAGCATAGTGAGAAAATAAATACGGGCACAGTGCTGAGACCGCTCATCAAACAAGCAAAAGACTGATGTATTGAAGTGTAGCCAATCAGTGCTTTTCTTGGGCCAATGGGAACTCTTAACTTCCACTGGACTGAAATGAGGATGAAGTTTGCACAACATGTAAATGTTAAACATTTTTGTTCTGACTTTAAGACTTTAATTCTTGTCATTATGAAGCATGATGGGGTGTCTTTTTCATCTTCGTAATACAGGGTCATTCATATTTGTTTCCTAAAGATTTTTAAAGTTTTCGCACATCACATGTCATTGCAGTAATGTAAAACTGAATAAACTCCTGTATGTTTGAAATGTTTTTGTCTTGTGGATATTGGTCCCTTTGCAATCATCAACATCAAATAAAACTCACAGATACCATGAAGTTTTATATGGTTGCCTCACAGCTGTCTTGTTTATTTGGTTCATTATCTGCAGTCAGATATACTGATTTGATAACAAATGCAGTGATCAACGTTACCAAAAACACAACAGTCAATGAATTACATTAGTTTTTAAGGGTATGTGAGATTGTGAGGGTCTTAACATTGTCTCAGACCCTCACATTAAGTTGTTTGCCTGAAATACCTACTAACGGCTATCTATATGCATTTGCATGCCCGTAACCACTAGGCCACCAAGATTTTCGTTTAGACTAAAATTTGTGTCTTTGCCCTTTTTTCTCTCATGGATATCATTATGGGAGTCTGCTTTCTGCAGTTCCCTCCAAACAGCTTTTCATTGTGGATCTATTCAGTCTCCCCATTATAGTCCACACACAGTCTGTGAGGCCTCTATTATTTTCACTGAAGGATTTAAAGTAATCCTGACAGTTGCCCAGCTACAGGAGGTGTTTTCTCACTGAGGCCAATGGCTGAAAGCACTGCTGTGCCACTGATACTGAATGGCATCCTCCAAAAGATGATGATGATGTGTGTGTTGTTGTGTGTGTGCCAGTTAGTAAAGGGTTTAGGCAGCAGGGTGGCTGCAGATGGCTCTAAAGAGAGATGATCAAATTAATTTAGTTATTTAGGCGAGACAAAAGATGTGACAGGCTCTTTGTGCAACTTGTAATTGTTCCATTTGGATGGTTTTCAGCTCAGGTGATTTGGCTGTCAAAATATGAGCTTCCCTCTCCTTAGATCTTTTGGTGATTTTTTTAATCCATTTTTTATGGCCCTGGAGTTTGTTTATAAGACTGTATTACCCTAAATTACATAGATGTAGACCTCATATAATGCTACAGAATAAGCTTGTAGGCCAAATCTTCCACACGTGGAGTGGTGTATGAATGGCCCAGTGTCCATTGACAATTAAGGTGTATTCATCCTAATCCCACCTAAGCAAGTAAGCATTCATCAGCATAAAGCACATAAGTGCGTTTACATTATATCGGCATGCCCCATGTTCTCATCAAGCAACATGTTGGGAGAGGGATTGTGAGGTTACGTGGAGTTCTGGCCGCCTAATGATGTGGGAGGCGCGCACAATTAAGAATGAGACCCGGCAGGTAATCGGATTAACGGGAATTTGATTCAAATTGAGGATTTTGGCAGCATTTTCTGCACTCCCTTACGATCAGCCACCTACCGCAGACCACTCCGTCCACTGGAAGTACGGAAACCAGCAGACACAGCCAACATGCCTGTTAACCTGACCGGATACTGGAAGATGATTTCCAACGATAACTTCGAGGAGTACCTGAAGGCTCTCGGTGAGTTCACGTCAGGCCAGAGGACATCTCGTTTAAATGATATGTTTAAGGCTTTTAGAGTAAGAAGCTAGTGCGAGTTCAGTCACATGGATAGACGTTTTAAAAAAATATTCCTCTTCACTTTAATAATTTTTCTTTTTCATTTCTTTTTTATTTAATTTTTTTTGTGTTTATCAAGTTTTTAAGTTTGTTCATCCGCCAATAAGCTAGTACAAAAAATGTCCGCTTCACTCAATTTTTCTCATTCATCATTCGTTTCCTCTCTTCTTCTTATTTTTCGGGGTACAGATGTAAATGTTGCCATCAGGAAAATTGCCACCTTGCTGAAACCTGACAAGGACATCGTTCACGATGGAGACCACATCATCATCAAGACTCTCAGTACCTTCAAAAACTACAATATGGACTTTCATGTGGGCAAAGAGTTCGAGGAGGACCTGAGTGGAGTGGATGACAGAAAATGCATGGTGAGAGTAAGGATATGGCATACAGATAATGCAGCTCCAGCTGGAAGTCTGCCACAGGAGTAGTGAGACATTATACTTATTCCCCTTCAGGTGAAGTAGGACCAGTGTCATTTGGGTGTAAATTCTGTGGGTGTACTGACTGATTTTTGAGGAGCCCATCCAGACTACAGTTTAATAAGCAGATGGTGTCGTGAGGACTGGTTATTTCATACAGAACTTTCCTCCTACTCATAAAACTTTCCACAAACTTTAAGCGTGGCTGCCAATGGCGTGGTGTAATGGAAAGGACTGAGGGAGGCAGAGGCAAAGTCAAGACTCATTTAATCAAGCTATGTTTTCGAATAGCGAATAGGATCAAAGATTATCTGAGTCCCCCTTGAAACGCCTTTTGTGTATGCTGATAGGCTGATTATAGATAAGATATAAGCTGTAGGGAGGGTAGCTGAGGGAGTAAGTCACGTACGTTTGAGTGATTATTGTTTGTGGGAAAAGGGGAGCTAAAACTCTCCTTTTAGCCTGTTATATATTTTGGGTTTAAACACATTTTTTATATTGACCATCGACACTTAAATCATGAATAATATATTATAAAAAAGTCAAGTCTCCCTCTTTTTGCTGTGACCTCATGCAGACCACCATCACCTGGGATGGAGACAGGCTGGTGTGTGTTCAAAAGGGCGAGATTGAAGGAAGAGGCTGGACCCACTGGGTGGAGGGAGATGAGCTTCATCTGGTGAGAAAACATTGACTCCTGCCATGAATATTAATCCAAGCAATTGAGACACTTTAATCCAGATCCAAAATGCCTCTCAGCACTGTGTGTGAAGTGCATACATTTTCATGTATGACTCAAGTTTGAAATAACCCACAAGCTTGTAACATCGGTCTGAGTGTGGTCCACACAGACTGATCATTTCTGAAAGTATGCAGCTGTAAGTAATTTAGAACTAAATTAATTATGTTATCTGAACATAAGGAGTCACCTCTTAATTTTCTAATGGGAAATAAGACTCCGATGCCTGATTTGGTTCTCAACTGTGTCCTGTGGGAGCAACATTTATAATTAAATCTTCATTTGTGTATTTCTGCAGATAATTTTTTAAGACTCTCCTGTTGATTGTTCCATTTATCCAGCACGACACCAGCCACATTGTTATCCTGACATTGCTCATTTCTGCTGAAAGAAATGTTCTCTCATTTTTAACACCTCGGTGAAATTCACTGTGTAGCCTCACATGTCTTGTAATGAAACCATTTCTACCTGAAAAGTAACAGAAAGCACATCATCATTTACATTAGCCCAGCAATATCAGTTTTCCCTCTGTATCATTACTGCTATGAAAGCTAAATTATAATAATCTCACAAATTATTTAGTTTAATTGATGCCAGCAGACCTCTACAATCAGCAGCCATGAGAGTAGGCATTAGTTGGAAATTCATTAGAGCTCGGGAGGGTTTGAAGAGCAACAGTGACCTCAGGTGGTGGAAAATCTCTGCTGCGCATGAAGACAGCCTTAAAGAGAGTGAACGTACTTCCAGCTAAATTGTTATTACTTGGGACAAAGTTCTCTTTATATACTGGATTTTCTCTGGTTAGTTTGATGATGATGAATATTTGTTTGTTCCCATGCAGGAGCTGAGAGCCGCAGGAGCTGTTAGCAAGCAAGTATTCAAGAAGTCCTAAACCAACTCTTATGAAGCAAGACAAATCTTCTAGCCGCAGACATTGGCTCAGAGAGACACATCAGATAAAACTAATCCCATCCTATTCAGCCTCCCCAAGTGTACATTTTGTGTTCCTACCAAACACAAACTGCACATTCCATATATACCGTTAATTTTAGTGAATGAGCAAGTAAGCTTGTAACATCTATCATATACAAAGCTGTATTTGTGTCTCAGGGCAAGTGCTGTGATTAGCAACTTTATACTTGCTGCATACTTGCATACTGCTAGTTGTAGCTGATCTCTTGATGAGTCAGACTTATCAATCAACACACAGATAAGATCCTGTCATTGGTCATGGATGAAGTAAAGAGAACTGTAATGCAGGAAATTTGTTCTGTATGTTGTGAATGGAAAGCAATGAATGCTATACAGTTTTCAGATAGAGGTCCTCAATCTCCAAAATGAATGTCAAGAGTAGATGTGAATTGATCCCTTCTGAACCCCGTGGGACTGCGCTTCTGACTGTGAGATGATTCCATCAATAAATGCAGCAGGTGAATGAAACATTGCTGTTGTTTGTCTTTTCTGTGTTGGTGAACCCTCCAATGCATCTTCATTTTATTGATATGGCATTGAAATGAACAGCTGTCTCCACCAATCCAGTGATAGGGGTGTGTAGACCACAACTTGTGAATGAAACAGACAGCTCAACCCACAATATTGTCTGCATCACTACTCCTAATTAGGAAAGCCTTTGTCCAACTCACTTGCTCATTCTTTGCTGCTGCTGGCTCTTCTGTTGTCCATCCTGCTGCTTCCTGTGCATTCACACCCAGCCACCCCCACAGTGTCAACCTGCAGGCTCTGATTATTTATGATTCCCAGACGAGTGTTATCGATTTCTTCTTGCTTTTGCTTTTGGCTGCTAATAAATGATGGTTAGTGGTCCAACAGAGTCTGCTGCTCAAGAATTGCATTTACATCTATACTTAATAAGAATGAATGAATATATCTGAATATACATGTGTGAGTCTGCCCCTCCTCTGCTCTTATATTTTATGTTGGATACTCAACTTCTTCCCATTCTTCTGTTAAAGGTTGCGGAGTTCCACTTTGTTTATCTTAAAGCTGAGTTGAAGCATATTTGTCTCATTAAGATCTAAGCATACATAAATCATAGCTCATATCAATTGATTTAATAAGCCACTATATTTCATTAGCTCAAAAGCAGGCATGTAGAAATTACACAGTGTAGAACATCATCTCATGTTCAGATATAGTACAAATACAACAAAACAAAAAAAGCTGCAAAGCTACAGTCAAATCCAGTCCCAAAAGAACAAACTACCAATGGGTCACAAAGGTTTTTCTTTTGTCTTAACAGCTCACAGCTCAATATGATACATATTAGAGAGGAGTTTGTATGTTCACTGATGACTGGAAAATATCTGGGTTTACCTCACATACCCTCACTATACTGCTGTCTGTCTCCATTTCTCTGGGGATAACATTTGCATGTTATTTTTGTGTTGTTGTTTTTTTTACCATAGTAAATTTGGCCCCTACTGAACCCAAAATATTTATGTCATGTGTAGTTTTTTTGTTAAAAATCTCTGCCAATTGTCCAATAATTTTGTGCAGTGTGCCTTGTAGCCCATATACTTTCATATCCTTATATAAACAGGCTGAACTATAGTAACTTTTGTGATCAAAGTTCAGGTACTTGGTTCTGGCGATTTGTGTTAACAGCTGAAAATAAATCAAATAAAGATAATGTTCTCATTGGTACTCGTACAAAGTTAAATGTGTTTTTGCTTAAAGGTATATGTTTATTAAATCCTGATGGTGTGTGATGTGTGTGTGTGAAGCAATACATGTCCTTGACCCCCCAGCACTCAAAAAAACAACAACCAATAGTTTCACTGCAATCAACCCACACATCGTTGGTTATCAGCTTTCGTGTCCCTGACTTGTATAAAGGCAAGAGGACACCTAGCCCTTTCCCCCTTTTCTACCTTTGTCTAAAGTCCATCCAGCGGCGTCACCAGCTTGCCAACATGCCTGTAGACTTCAGTGGGAAATGGGTTCTGGAAACCAATGACAAATTTGAGGAATACTTGAAAGTGCTAAGTAAGAGATTTTTTTACTTTCGTTAGTTATGTTTTGAGATAGGTATAACACGTTGGAGAATCAAAACTTTGCATGCTAGAACCTTCAAGTTGTAATTGATTTATGCAATCTTCATTGCATGATGATGGTTAAAAGATAAACAGATCAATACAATTTGAATTTATTCAAGTATCAAATCTTTTTATGTTGTGCAATTACAATGTTAAAATGTACAATTCTCTGTTCTTGTCCCAGATGTTGACTTTGCAACAAGGAAAATCGCCATCTCTTTGTCTCAGACTAAAGTTGTTTGCCAAGATGGAGACAAGTTTGACTTCAAAACGCTCAGCACGTTTAGGAATTATGAGCTCGCCTTCACTGTAGACGTAGAGTTTGATGAGCACACCAAAGGGCTGGACAACAGACATGTCAAGGTTGGTTGACTTCTCATCCAAGGATTCCATGAGACAAAAGTCAGTGCTTCAGCGAGTGACATGTGTCATCTGTCTGGATTTGTGCTGCAAACAGTAGTAACACAAGCAGCAGCAATGAGTGACATGATGCACTTTAATATAATACTGTAAAACAAAACTGCTGTATAATGTCAGTCAATGTCACCTGATGCAGAAATGTACAACCATGAAGCAGTCACATTAGGCCTTTCTTGTTTTGAATGTTGGGTGTTTTATGTTAAAAAAAATTAAAAAGATCATCTTAATTAGGACAAAAATGCATTCCTGATGGGAACATTTTGCGAAATTGAATCTACAATTCACGTTCTTCAAACCACTCAAATGCTTTATTTTCCTTTCCATTTATTTTCTAAAGCCAGTCAACAAATCCCTTTTTCAGGAAAAGTTTGTCTTTTTGGCATGGTAATTTAATTTACTATAAATAAAATATAATCTAAACCAAGGAATGTAATGCCAACATTTTTTTATTTCCCTTTTGAAATAAAGATCAGTATAGGTTTTTCAGCGCTATCCACAGAGGTTGACATTGTGTAATATAATGTCCTCACACTGTCAGTGTATTCATAGAAAGTCAAGTCTCTGCAGATAACCTCCATGTTAAATCAGAGGTCTGTTTCGGAGATAGATTAATAAGTAAGCTATACATGAAGTCCCTGTAGGAGTAGAATCCAACACTTGGTGCTGTGGCCCATTCTGCCTATATTGATCACTGTTACTGCTGTTTTAAATGATTTCCAATTGTTTTCTGAGACTCTAAGGTAATTTTTCCACCTATCTGAATAGGCTCTCCATTTTCTCAGTTCCACTGGCAATTTTTCATAATTTGGTCCATAATATAAATGTACAAATATGATTTAGTTTTAAGAGCTGGTTTGAAATCCCTACGTGGTTTAGGTTATTGGAAATGACACATTTTCTCTATTTTCATCACTGTCACATTCTCATGCTTTATTTCACTGTGTTCCCTACTTTATTGATTACACATTTATTCACGTGTCTATCAAGGATATCTCTGGATTATTCACAAGGATTATTCACCTGTCACATTTTCGGGTGAAATGTTTCAATTTTCAATCACTGAATCATCAGAATCAGTGTTATACACTAATAACACACAAATGGCAAAGAAAAACTTTGCACAGCTAGATACAAAGATATTCATTCGGTCATTAGTATTCTATTATGTTAATGTTGTTTTCCCTCATCATTTTATGTCTTGTCATAGCCTATGAAAACAATTTCATTTTGGTCTGTAGTGCTATAAAGAAAGTATTTTTTCATTTTGCAGAGTTTGGTTAAGTGGGAGGGGGACAAGCTGGTGTGCACTCAGAAAGGTGAGAAGGCCAACCGTGGCTGGAAACACTGGATTGAAGGAAACAAACTTTACCTGGTGGGTAGCCGGTGTTATTCTTGATCACCTGAGGTTTACAGGTGAACCAGTTTTTGTGCCCTGCTGTGTAAATGATCCAAAGTCAATTTTCTTTTGCAGGAGCTGACATGTGAAGATGTAGTTTGCCTTCAAGTATTCAGCAGGAAAGAATGACATGTCTTTGTTTTTATTTACCTTGCTTACATGTAAGAGATTACATGTGAACAGACCGAAATAATAAAGGAGCTCTAAGAATATGCTGTGTTGTGTTTAAATTTGATGTACTTGTATTTTAGATAACTGCAGTAGGTGTGTTAGACCGATTCCTTAGTTGGAAGCCCGAGAATGAACTAGAGAACAGATCAAGAGTACAAATATTAAATTTATTCGGTCACAGGTAAAGTAATCAGGGCTGTAACAGACAAAGCTCCCTGAGGATCTCTTTCGGCAAGAGACCCGAAATCTGGGTGTGTTGGATATCTATCTTCTGGGTTGGGCCTGCCCAGTACAGTAGGAAGACTGGACGCAACCGAGTCTTATTGGCCAGTTAGTTCTGAGATGAACAGGCCAGCTCCTAATTATTGCAGATTTCGTTGGAGTGTGATAAGAAAGTGTGTGTGTGAATGTTGACCTTGAAGACATGTATCTACTGTAACAGAGAGAGAAAGAGAATGTGTGGGCACACCTAGAGAGTTTAACACATGAGTATAGTTCTAGAAGGATAAGACAATCAGTCATTTACATGGATTATGTGGTAGCATACAATGCTAAAGTGAGTTAATACAGCCCAATTTCAACAGGTGTATTCACGGAATCTAATATGGTGAGCTGATTTCTTCAAATTGTATCACTTGTAATAAATAATATTATAATAAAACCCCTTGTATTCTGTATTGTAGCATTCACAAAATTTGACAAACTTTTGGAATTATTTCCAGAAGGATTTAATATTATGTTGGATGGACTCAAAGCTATGCATAAATCGCCACCTGCTGGAATGACTGGGTAGTTTTGTTTCCACACATTTCAATTAAAGCAAGCAGTTCTCATAATGTGTAAGCAAATATATGATTCAGACATGACGATTTTTAGACTAAAGTAAAACAGGACCAAAGAAAAGTTGGAATATCAGTGTAAATGGTGCTTCTCAACAGAACGTGTAATTTTCTTCTGGTCGACAAATGATAGTGCAACCCTTTCTGGTCTGGAGCAGTACAGCTGGCATAACTTGGTGTCACGTCATCAATTCCAGTGAGTAAATCACGCGAGATTGTGTTTCAGGAAGTTCCACGTCAGTATCCAGTGCTCTGCTAAAAGAAGTCGCAACATTTGGACTCCATTTGTTCACAACACATTTAACTTATCTAATTGGGACAACACAAGGATAGCAACATGGTAAGCTAAATTTATTTACAAATATGTTCAGGTCAGTTTTGTTAGCACACATTTACTTTACGATTCCAGAGTCATTGAAAAAAGGAGGGTCACGGTGTGATTTAACGTTACTCTAATGTAAATACTTGCGGCTAACTAGCTTGAGTTAGCATGGGAGCTTGTAGCTAATGGGGTAAAGCTGGCTAACCTAGACCGTTTTTAATCATTATATGCTTTTTATCAGCAGTATATGCTCCTAAGTCTGTGTTACTTTTAAAAAGATTCACTTTGATATGAACAATTGTGCCATTAATTAAATTAATCGATGAGTTAGCTGTTAGCTGCTTGCTGGTAATATGGTGTCCTTAAGAGATCTGTTGCTTGTTACTGTTTAGAATGTCATCACTGTAGTGGCATTCGCGTATCATATGCTCATCTATGCCGCGAGTTTGAATAAACGCACCGTTGTATTTGGTCTTTTAAGCCTCTGAGGCTGGACATCAAGCGGAGGCTAACAGCCAGGTCGGATCGAGTGAAGAGTGTGGACCTTCACCCAACTGAGCCATGGATGCTGGCCAGTCTGTACAACGGCAGCGTATGTGTGTGGAATCACGAAACACAGGTAAGAAAACTAATAGATGGCATTCCAATGCAGTGCCACATAACATGAAATTAATTAAATAATTCTGCCTAAAAGATTAAACACCAGTAGTGACATTGCAAACTACATCAAATGTATTTTGAATTATCTTCACAGACTCTGGTAAAAACTTTTGAAGTGTGTGACCTCCCTGTGAGAGCATCAAAATTTGTGGCAAGGAAGAACTGGGTCATCACAGGCGCAGTGAGTATCCTTGAAAATGGGTTGCATTGCAGAAATAGCCCTGCATATTGTAGGCATAAAGAGAATATGAGGATAAATTAAACATTTATCAAGTATTTGAACATGCTAAATGGCCAGATTATTGGGGATTTATGGTGTTTGCATAGGGGCCACATGTTAAATTATCTGTTTACATTATTCCTTTTATTCTTCTTTTTTCCACAAAGGATGACATGCAGATCCGTGTTTTCAACTACAACACTTTGGAGCGGGTTCACATGTTTGAGGCCCACTCTGACTACATCCGCTGCATTGCAGTCCATCCAACTCAGCCATACATCCTCACCAGCAGTGGTACGCCAGTAGCTGTTCAGCTTTCCAGATAGAAAACATAAGTCTATTTCTTCGTCACAGTGTTTATAGTTGTTTTTTCTTTGTTGTCCTTTAAGATGACATGCTGATCAAGCTATGGGACTGGGAAAAGAAGTGGTCATGCAGCCAGGTGTTTGAGGGTCACACTCATTATGTTATGCAGATTGTCATCAACCCCAAGGACAACAATCAGTTTGCCAGTGCTTCCCTGGACAGGACAATTAAGGTAGGCGGTCTTGGTGTTGCCATCTCTTTTGCAGCACAAGTCTCTTTTCCATCACATAATTTCTGTTAAGCATTTCTATCTAAGCAAATATCTTGAGAAGGAAGACATTTTTGTAAAATGTTTCAATGGGATAATGCAGTTTAAAAGGATATTTGTCATGGAGAAAATAGACATTTATTGTTGACTGAATGAGATGTGTTAGGCTACAGTACTACAATGGAAGCCCTGAGAAACATTTATTGATTCCACATTATTTGGTGTGTACAGGTTTGGCAACTGGGCTCTTCATCGCCTAATTTCACTTTGGAGGGTCATGAAAAGGGAGTCAACTGTATTGACTACTACAGCGGAGGAGACAAACCTTACCTGATATCCGGGGCTGATGACCGCCAGGTCAAAATCTGGGACTACCAGGTTAGAAAACTTAACCTGATATTTCTTTTGATGGAGTGCTCAGAGTAAGTCAAAGAAAAAAGAACAAGACAGAGCACAGACTTTTACATTTAAAACAAGTACAAGAATAAAAGCTTAGTTTCTTTTCTGTGTGGAATAGAACAAGACCTGTGTTCAGACTCTGGAGGGACACGCCCAGAATGTCTCGTGTGTCAGCTTCCACCCTGAACTTCCCATCATCATCACTGGATCTGAAGATGGTGAGCTGACTCCACCCCCTACTCTTGCCTACAAAACATGACTCCTTTTCTGATTGTGACACCAATTTCCTTTTGTCCACCTCTCTTTAGGCACTGTGCGCATCTGGCACTCAAGCACTTACCGCCTGGAAAGCACACTCAACTATGGCATGGAGCGAGTTTGGTGCGTGTGTGGCCTCAGAGGCTCTAACAATGTGGCACTTGGATACGATGAAGGAAGCATTATTATCAAGGTGAGTTGAAGAGAGGATTTAAAAAATATGTTCATATGGACTGAGTTTTTTCCCTATTTAGAAAAAAAAAAGGTTGCACATATTTTAACACATAGTTTAACAGATTATACTGACACAATATGGGTTTCCTTGGCCAAAAATAAAAGTTTGACCACCTTACAGAAGAATTTCCAACAAAAAACGAATTGACTTATTAGTCTTAATAATGTATTGATTGATTAATTAGTCTTAATTGATTGTTCAAGTTTGATTTAATTTGTTTCTGTATTCTGGTTTTCTGACTGTGTAGGTGGGTCGTGAGGAGCCAGCCATGTCTATGGACACTAATGGCAAAATAATCTGGGCCAAACACAGTGAAATACAGCAAGCTAACCTCAAGGCCATGGGTGACACTGAAATCAAAGATGGTGAGAGACTGCCGTTAGCTGTCAAAGACATGGGCAGCTGTGAGATTTACCCACAAACCATCCAGCACAATCCTAATGGAAGGTACAAACACATACTCTTCAGTAGTTATTCATTGGAAAGAGTGTCTCTATCCTGAATAATCACTCATTCATGTGTTTGTATTTGTTAGGTTTGTTGTGGTGTGTGGAGATGGAGAGTATATCATCTACACTGCGATGGCATTGAGGAACAAGAGCTTCGGCTCTGCCCAAGAGTTCGTCTGGGCACACGATTCCTCTGAGTAAGTATAGGAAATATATTTCACTGCTTCACGTCTTTGGGAGCAAGTCCACTTTGAGATGTTATTACTCCCAAAAACTGAATGAAGTTTTCTTGTTGCTGTTTTTTTCCATCAGATATGCAATCCGAGAAAGCAGCAGTATTGTCAAAATCTTCAAAAATTTCAAAGAGAAGAAATCTTTTAAGCCTGACTTTGGAGCAGAAGGTATTCAGACTGTTGTTAGTTAGAGTTGTGGATGATGTAGCAGCTCTGTTCACTGTATGCTTTTGTTTTAATGTTCTGCAGGGATCTATGGAGGTTTTTTGCTCGGAGTGAGGTCAGTGAATGGCCTGGCGTTTTATGACTGGGAGAACACCGAGCTAATCCGCCGTATCGAGATCCAGCCCAAGCACGTGAGACTATGTAGCTCTGCTTTTTTTTAGCCTGGTGTTACCCAAATCGTTTCTATAGTTACCCATTTTTTCAAATTTGTGCTTGATGCTGTTGTAAAATTGTATTTGCCTACTAATTCCAATAATTTTCCCTTTTTAAAAATGTTCTGTTTGTCTCTTTCATTCATTAGATCTTCTGGTCAGATTCTGGTGAATTGGTCTGTATTGCTACAGAGGAGTCCTTCTTCATTCTGCGTTACTTGGCAGATAAAGTAGCTGCCTCCCAAGAGAACAACGAAGGAGTGACAGAGGATGGTATTGAAGATGCCTTTGAGGTCAGTGTGTGCATTTTGTGCTAGTTATGGCTAGAAGTAACGATCAACTAACTGGATCAAGGTGGCCTTAATCTTCGAAAATTCCTGACCTAAACCAGCACTGGCATGACTTTAGATTTGTATTTGATTAAAGGAATGAAGTAATCCTGTTAGTATTCTGTGTAAATTGGAGGAGTATTTTTTTGCATATATACATTTTGGCGATTACTCATTTCCATATTTAAATCTTTTTACTTTCATCTTCATCTTTACAGGTCCAGGGAGAGATTCAAGAGATTGTGAAGACTGGCCTTTGGGTGGGAGATTGCTTCATCTACACTAGCTCTGTAAACAGACTCAACTACTATGTTGGAGGAGAGATTGTGACTATTGCACATCTGGACAGGTAAAGAGGCTTGACAACTGCACGGACTGTATTTTCTTCTGTATAGTCAAATGGACTATAAACAAAAATATATATCTAAGCTGTTGAGGTGGGGGGGTTGTTGTTTGTAAGAATGATGCAGCCATGTGAAGGTGTTGTGTTCTTTCCTCCTGAAGGACCATGTACCTACTTGGTTACATTCCAAAGGATGACCGTTTGTATCTGGGAGACAAGGAGCTCAACATTGTCAGCTACTCGCTCCTTGTATCTGTCCTGGAGTACCAGACAGCTGTAATGCGGAGAGACTTTGGAATGGCAGACAAAGTACTACCCACCATCCCTAAAGAGCAGCGGACCAGGGTGGCACATTTCTTGGAGAAACAGGTGAGGAAACTGCTATAGGACTGAAATTCCTCTCTAGTTTTATTTTGTTTCATGGTTTAAAAAGGAACTGATGAAACTGGAGCTCGGTACGATGATTTTCTACACGTCAGTCCGAAGTATCAGGATTTTGTTTCTTTCTCAGAAGATATTTTGTTTTTTAGTTTATATTTTTCATTCCTGTGTGGATTCAGCTTTGTGTCCTCTGTTTGGTGATGAATTTTGTTTGTTTGTCTTTTCAGGGATTTAAACAACAGGCGCTGGCCGTCTCCACTGACTCAGAGCACAGGTTTGAGTTGGCTTTACAACTGGGAGAGTTGAAGATAGCCTATCAGCTGGCTGTGGAAGCAGAGGTAAATGTGTGCTTGTGGTTCTCTAAGGCAGATTGTACTTTTGCTGGATAGCCTTTCAATTAGTTATTTCGGTAATTACTGCTCAGATTTCCCCCACATTGCTAATATTTGCCATTCTTACCACTGCAGTCGGAGCAGAAGTGGAAGCAGCTGGCAGAGCTAGCCATCAGTAAGTGCCAATTTGGCCTGGCCCAAGAGTGCCTGCACCATGCTCAGGATTACGGCGGCCTGCTACTTCTTGCCACTGCCTCTGGGAATGCCACCATGGTGGGCAAACTGGCTGAAGGAGCAGAAAGAGATGGCAAGAACAACGTGGCCTTCATGACTTATTTCCTGCAGGGAAAGTAAGTAACACAGCGCCCGAGAGTAGTGCATGTAGTTCAATACATTATTCATTACTTATTTATGAGGCTAGAAACCCAACAATCTTTTATTTAACCTTCTTTCCAGGCTGGATCAATGTTTGGAGCTTTTGATTAAGACAAACAGACTACCGGAGGCAGCCTTTCTGGCTCGCACTTACCTTCCCAGCCAGGTGTCCCGTGTTGTCAAACTGTGGAGAGAGAATTTAGCCAAAGTCAACCAGAAGGTCAGTTTGGTCACCAAGCTGTGTTATGTTAGTTGTAACTGGGGTTACTTTTCTGTGGACCAGTTGGGATTGTGCAAAAGGAGGAAAAGTGGGAATTTGGAAATATTTCTGACTTCTTTTTGTAAAACTTCATTACAGGCAGCTGAATCCTTAGCAGACCCCACAGAGTATGAAAATCTGTTCCCTGGGCTGAAAGAATCCTTTGCAGCTGAACATTATCTGAGAGAAGCCTGTCTGGGCAGCTCCAGACCTGCTAAAGACTATCCACTTGTTACTGTAAGTTATGCCAAGTAGGAAATAATGACAAATTACATAAGAAAATGATCGTCATTACTCAAAACATCTATATCATCTCAAAGTTTATTTTTAAAACTTTTTTTTTTCTAACCCTTTTAGCCCAATGAGGACAGGAATATTTTGGAGGAGGCTCAGGGATATGAGCCCAAAGGTACCTTCATCCCTCTCATCCTCAAGGTTTGTCCAGTTCATCCATTTCTGTTAACTTAATTCCTGCATTATTTTTTCATAGCTCTGCACCCTCTGTTGGCAAAAACAGAATTCTAATACAAATTTGAGGAAAAGTAGAGGAGTGCTCCGTAAAATCCAAACTCTCATAGTTTAACAACATTTTCTTTGCAGACACAAGATGATGAAGAGCCAAGCTCGGTTCCAACAGCTTCTGTGCCGACCCCCCAGCCTGAAGCCCCTGCTCCCACAGCAACAGAGGTAGAGGAAGAAGAGGAAGAAGAGGAAAGTCCGGCATTCTCACAGAAAGACAAGGTTCAACAGTTCCCTTCTTGACTTTTCTCAATGGTTTCTTGATATTTTATTTAAAAAACTGAAATACTGTTTCCTCTGTCAGCAGTCTCTGGATGAGCTTGAGGTAGACCTGGACAACATGGAGCTGGATGACATTGACACCACAGACGTTAACCTGGATGATGACTTTTTAGATGACTAAGACCTGCAACCATTCTGCTCCTAAGCACAGTTTAGAGCATAGTAAAAAAAGAGACCAAACCCCTTTTTCCCTTATGTTTGTTTTTGTATTTGAAAAAACTTTATGATCTCACATCTGTCTTCTGCAGTGTCTGGGTTTGGTTTGACAATTACATCAGAAACATTTAAATGAAAAATTATGGTTAATATCGTATCTACCACATTTTCTACATGTTTATTGCTCAAGAACCGCAGACTTTCCACCAGAAAATGCTACTTTTTGCTTTGTATTGTCTGTAATGCAAATCCAGAAGCCCAATAAATTGTGTTGCTGTACATATTCACAACTGCTTTATGCCAAATGTTAATTTCTTTCTTTTCATAAAACGTTTCTAGAATGCACTATTTTAAGGTATAATTGAATATCAAATTTGAGATTATTTGATTTTTCTGTTTTGTTTTAAATATCAGTTGCATCAAAGGAATGAAAATGGGATGCTGAAAAAAAAATCCTTTTTGCACAAAAATATTAATCTTATGGGAGTATACAAACAAAGCTTCAGGCAACTGCTACAGACATCAGACATAAACTTATTTTTTATGAACAGGGGTTCAGATTAAATGTATTAAATATATGGAAATAGGTTGGAGGTGGTGGATTTACTTTTTATTTATGTGTACTTAAGTTTTAGCTTTCAAAAAAGGTGAGCTACATAGATTTAGAATGGTGAGAAATTAGCCCACATTGTTGTCAGAGCATGGCTTCTTTTTAAATAAAATCAAATTGGAAACATTTAATTTACCGTTTACACATTGGATGTGAATCCGTCTTTCTTAGAGTTAATAATTTTGCATGAATTACAGCTATAATACTGAAATTTTATTTTGATCATCGAAATTTAATCTAAAGATGTATGGGATCATAATGCGTCTTTTTCCCTTTTTATATTACACGTTTACAGTAAACATTGCCATCTGCTTAGAAATGTACATTTATTCAATCAAACAACGTTTCCGGTCGCTTACGTATAATGCCCGTCACTGGCTCCAGGCCACTGGTGAGCGCCTCTATGGGACGTAGGCGTGGAGTTCTCCTCCCCTCCTGTAGATGGCGCCCTTCCGAGGAAGCTTGTGCGATTTTTTTTTTCCAGTTTCGTGTGCAACAAAGTAACGAGCTTGGCAGAAAGCAGGAGGGTACAGTCACCCCTTCTAATGTTTGTTTTTTAATCGTTTGCTAACTGTGTTTTCTCTGATTTCGAAGCTTTTGACTGAATATTGTAAGTTTAATTCAAAGCGGAACACGCGATTCAGTCTTCGGACGGTGTTGGGACGCTTTGTGGAGGGACAAGGTTTTTCCCCCCTTCGGTAGAAGGCAGGCGTTTGGCGAGCTTCGATTGAACACACAGAACCAGGACTAAGCAACGACTCGGTAAGCCAGAGAGACCTGGGAGGACCACGGCACATCCTCCGCAAGCGCCACGGGGAGTCGGGGCCCGGGAGGGAGCCTGCCAGGCCCTCGGCTTGATGCACCCAGCCTGCCTTACCTTAGCCACAGTTCGAGATGGGGGAAACCAAAATCATCTACCACCTCGACGACCAGGAGACACCATATCTGGTGAAATTGTCTGTGCCGGCGGACAAAGTTACTCTGGCAGACTTTAAAAATGTCCTCAAGAAACCAAACTACAAGTTCTTCTTCAAGTCTATGGACGATGACTTCGGGTAACTGTTAATGGTTTATTGTGTGTACTGTGAAGTCAGCATAGCCACCGACAGCTTTCTTTATTTTTGCACAGCCAGTTTTATTGGTTTCCCTATCCAGCTGATTTTCCATCAATGTAACATTGCCTGCCATTCGATCATATGCTAGCTTCTTCTGTTTTCTTTGTTAGCTGCTAGCGACAAGCTTGCAGCGTTAGCGGGTCTGTTCAGCATCCAGACCTCGTTTGTTTACATTGCTTGTGTGGCTCGTTTATACGTCTTTCCTCGGATTTGACAGACCAACTTTGGTTTCAGTCAGTCGCCTTGACGGCACAGAAAGCCTCGAGTGGCCCCTGAACTTCTAACCGATAAAGTGTGATACTGACACTGTTGACAAGGACTAGTAATTGACGGTACCACTGACAGCTGTTACGGGACGCATGCTAACAGGCTAATGTCAGAGTGGAAACGGCCAGGTTTTGGTCAGCAGTGAGACCAGCAGGCCCCTGCTGCTGTTGTTGTCTATTAGCCAGAGGAATGCAGAGTTGGGCACAGGAATGTCCTGTTCATCACTCTGGCAGCTTTATGAGCAAGTCCCTTTGTGTTAAAACATGGTCAGAGAGTTGACGGTTTATGGTCCTCCAGGAAGACCCCTCTAAGACGTGAGGTGAAATGAAGTTCCGTCTTCTCCTTTTAAAAGCTTGAGCCAGGTTTCCAAAGTTGCCTTTAGACAAACACTAACCTGGGTGGGGCAAGAACTTAAGAACTTTTGGATGTGGCAGAGACATGTTTTGAAAAGACCCACAGCTATTCATGTCATGCTGTGATGTGTGGGGGAATAAGAAAAAATCTCTATTTTTAAATGAAGCTCTTTGTTAGACTGGTCTGGTACACAAATTTGTTGAAACAGTTTCTGTGACCTTTAGTGTACCTCCAGTGTGAAAGGGTTTGTTGAAAAGTCACATGGTTTTATGTTGCAGGACTTATGCAGCTACGTCTTATACCCCAACTTTTTTCGTCCGCTTTTTAATTCATAATCTTTCGCTAACACTAATACTTTTTTTCCTTACAGGGTTGTGAAGGAAGAAATATCTGATGACAACGCTAAACTGCCCTGTTTTAATGGACGCGTGGTATCTTGGGTAGGTTAACGATATCTCTAAATATTTTCCTTATTTTAAGCCTTTTTTAAATTTTCTCTATGTACACAAGTGTGCAGAGATTCGCCAAAGGAGCTTTCAAAGACACAACATTTATCTAAATGTAAAATATTATTTGATGACTCTTAGCAATAACCTCTCTTTCAGACTGTAAGAAGTGCCTCGTGCAGTCTGCCTTCCTCTCTTTTTAATGTTAAAATTAAATTAAAAGCAAGTGAAATCACAGGATAGGAAGAAAGTGTACAACGAGAAAGCGTCTCACTTTATGGCATCTAACAAGAAGATTAAATTTCAGAGGCAGGAGAGAATAAAATTGAGAGAAAGACTGTTGTGTGACTTGATGTGAAAGGCTGATGCATTTAGTTAATGCTGCACTGTGTGCTTGTTATTACAGGTTATAGTCTCAGAGTCATCAACACCTTGTTATTGCTAGGTGTTTAGCTGTGTAATTCATCATGCTCAACATAATGTTTCTCTGCTGCTCCCAGTTCCTCTCTTTGGGTTTATGTGAGACCAAGTTAATCTCTCTGGGATTGTGGAAAATTTCCACATACTATAAAGGGTTATTACTGTTACATCCATTTGTTTGTCTCCACTGCACATCTGTTATTTCAGTGATCCGACTGATTGTTCTCTGGAGGTCTAATGGCCCCGCCTCCTGCACAGAATATCAGGCTGGAGTCATGACTCCAGAGTCACCATATTTTACTGTCACCTGACAGCTTTGACCCATAAGATCATGTGTCAACACCAGATAGTTGCAAACTACTGATATAGCCAGCACATTATACTTTTTTTCTTAGATTTTTTGTGTCTTTCCTTGATCCATTCACACCACATCCATTCACACTCCACTCTCAGAGCCAAAAATAGTAGTAGCAAAATAAATCAAACTTTTGAAGGAATGTTGAATTTGTCCTTTTTATTGGAAGAGTCTTTCTTTCATGTCTTCATTTCTAATTTGTCCACAAATGATTTAATAGGATTTCCTTTTAGAACTTGAGGGATTGACTTACAGACTTATTAAAAAAAAGCTTTCTTCTTTTCTATTTTTTTGTTCAGTTGGGATGCAACTGTTTAATCTTTAAAAAGTCCTGTGACTGTGACAGAAACAGGCTTGCACAAATATTGAGAACAGTAAACAAAAATGAATGACAGGTGCATAAAAGTGTATGAAATCAAACATGTTAAGTTTTTTTTTTCAAAACCTTATTTGTCAGCCCTTGTCGTGCAGTGGATGGAGGATAGTTTGTGCAGTCTTGTTGAATCTGACATCGGCTGTTTCTAGTGTGTACTATAACCCAGGTGCGTAAAACAGGTTCCAATTTTTAATAGAAAACTTCTGTGTACGTGAAACTAACAACAAAACCGGAGTTATACCAACAGCATGTTAATCTATGGTAAAAGAAAATGTTCCAGATGATCTCTGCCATGGTCTGTTGAAGCCTTTTTTCCTCCTTAATCCTCTAGTAGCATAGGCAACACCATCAGGTAAACAAACCACAAAACTTGGAAAAGACTGCTTTTTTTCCTCTCTCTTCATTTCAGTCCACTGCTGTTTTTCTGTAGCTCCCCTCTGTCAGGATGGAAACATAAATATGGACTTTTTTGTGTGGAATTCTTTCAAATTTATTTATACAGAAAAGCAGCAGCTGCACCAACAGTTTCATTTGAAGAGGTTAGCCAACATTCAACTAAGAGACAGTAACACAAGATTCAACATGTAGGTGTTGAATAGGGTGTAAACACAGTGGTGTTTTTTGTTTGTTTTTTGGTGGATTTAGTGCCCACTTGCTTCTCTGTCAGTGAGCATAACCCTCCGTCTCATCTGTTATTGATCTCACTCTTATTTTGTAGCTTGTTTCCGGAGATGGGACTCAAACAGACGCAGGCTCAGTGGCCGATAGTTTAGAGCCGGCGCCACCCTTGGAGAGGACCGGTGGCATTGGAGACTCAAGACCCCCTTCCTACCAGTCAGTATATTCAGAAGAATACTTTGTGTCTAATGGATGAGTTTTATGCATGAAAGGCAGATATGCTTTGTGGCCTTGTTTCCTAGTGACCAAAGTGAAAGATGGGTCAGAAATTGTGCCCATTTCTTATTCCATGTATTTTAAAAAATAATATTAAATTTGTTCAAATACCTTTGAGAGTGCACATGATGGGGGTGAAATGAAATACCTACCATACTAAAATAAGTCAATTCACACAGCATCTGCAGTTCCTGCCAAATACCAGTAAACCCAAAGCAGACTGCAGTCAGAATCTCACTTAAAGCTTTTATTCTAAACATTTGTCTGTTGAATTGCGTTGGCTACTTTGTTAATGATTCAAAGGGATTCTGTGTGCTCTGCTCTGCTCTGTCTATCTTAAGTGGGAAAGCAGTGAGCGGTCAGGACAGTTTGGACAATGACACAGAGACAGGCTCCATGGTGTCGCAAAGGAGGGAGAGAGAAAAGCCAAGGCGGAAGCACTCAAACAACCACGGTCAGATTTCCTCTTCTATTCTTCTACTTTAGATTTTTAAGCTTATGTTGAGCTGTTTGTTTGTATGTCTTGCTGGGTTCCACTTTCTGCATGTATGTTGTTGATTTAGAGGGGAAAATTCTCCTTAGAACACAATTGATTTTTTTTTGTTCTATTTATTTATGTTACATGTGTTTTTATTGCAGGTGGGAGGCAGAATGGGTACTCTTCAAGACCAACGGGACGTGGAGGCGCCGATTACGACAGCTGCTCTTCCTTCATGAGCAGCGAGCTGGAGTCCACTTCTTGCTTTGATTCAGAAGATGATGATGCAACCAGCAGGTCAGATTCCACAGTCCCGGTTGCTCATAATTGCCTCTCTCATTGAGAAAGGGCCTTTGGCTTTGGTAATGCACCTGGAAATAAAGTTAATGTTTTATGACAGAGATTAGTTCAGTCTGTTTCCCCAGTGGTTTTGTGGAAATGCTCTTTGTCTATTCCAACGTTAAACTCTCACGTTCTGCTTTACAGACTGTTACAGTCTCAGTCTTATGGTATTCCACAGGATGCTTTAGTAATTTTGCAGCTGTAAAATGCCCAGAAAAAAAACACCTCAACATACAAGGTTCTTCCCACCACACAAAGAATCCGGTTTTTACCTCAGTAAATAAGAAAACCTGCCAGTCAGGTCCTAATTTTCACATTATGTAGTTAGAGGTTGTTTTGCAAGCAGCTTAGACTGGTCATGAATCACGCCCCGCATCACCTTTTGTGCATGAAAAAGTGTCTCTCCTTTGCAGCAACAGCATTATGGTAAAAATGTGATTATTATTGAAATCATCAAAGGAAATAGAATCTCTTTCTGTATATATTTTATATTTGAGCTGGGTGTTTCTTTCCAGCTTGTCACACAAACAAATATTTAAAAAATGTTTTAAGATACAGATTAAATGTTTTCTTCTGTAGGTTCAGCAGCTCAACTGAGCAGAGCTCCTCTCGATTAATGAGACGACACCGCCGTCGCAGACGGAAACCCAAGGTTTCCAACATGGATAGGGTGAGTAGCCACACTCATGGACACACAGGGCAGTCAAAGCCTGCTCAAATAAGATTTTTCTTTCTGACTTTCCTTTTTTTTTGTGTATATCTTTGAATTCTCTCTCAGTCTTCGTCGTTCAGCAGCATCACAGACTCTACCATGTCCCTGAACATCATCACTGTAACTCTTAACATGGGTAAGGTGCACACAGAAGAAGTTGTTCTCTGTTCTTCTGGAGTTGAAAGTAATTAATAAACAGCAAAAAAGGACCTTCTTGGTGCTTTTAAAAAAATATATACCTTTAACACCATCTGCTTTACAGAGAAGTACAACTTCTTGGGCATCAGTATTGTGGGTCAGAGTAATGAGAGGGGAGATGGAGGGATCTACATTGGTTCCATCATGAAAGGAGGAGCAGTGGCTGCAGACGGACGCATAGAGCCCGGGGACATGTTGCTGCAGGTGTGTGGGGTTGAAAGAGACACGAACAGAGACTTGAAAAATAATTTTTGCATTCCTGAAGTGTGGGCCAGCAGTCTGTCTGTTTGTGACATGAAATAACTTGCGAGATCAGTTAAGGTTTTCTGTTTTGTCCTCATAAGGCTACTTGTATGACCCCCTACCACTGGAGAGAGTTTTATGGTATTGTTGTTCAAATAGTTTAAACCTGACTGTTCCTCTCTTTTTTCATTGCTGTTTGTTTTAACCTCGTGTTGATATTGTGGAAAAAGTTCTTAAATTGTGCAAATTGCTTTGAGATTGGTTGGAATCTCAGTCAACGGGTTTATATTAGAAATTATTTAAAGCTGAGCTTGTGCAAGTTAGATCTATGTAATGCAATGCACACACAGTCATTTATTTTCTGACATTCTTACCTGTGTAGGTAAATGACATAAACTTTGAGAATATGAGTAACGACGATGCGGTGAGAGTCCTGAGGGACATCGTGCACAAACCGGGGTAAGCTCCACACAGAAGTACATAAAACATAACTACGTCCATAAACTGAAGTGCTTGTAAAGCTGGAGTCTGTTTTTTTTTTTTCCCTTGCTAATTCTCTGTGCGTATTACCAGCCCTATTACTCTGACTGTTGCAAAGTGCTGGGACCCAAACCCCCGGAGCTGCTTTGCTCTGCCCAGGAGTGAGTTTGTGCTCCTTGTTCTTTTTTTATATTGTATGAATTTCAAATATTTGCAAAAGAATCATCATCTGATTGCTTTCCTTATGTGTTTTTACAGGTGAACCCATCCGACCCATTGACCCAGCTGCTTGGGTGTCCCACACGGCCGCCATGACCGGGGTCTACCCCCCATACGGCATGAGCCCTTCCATGAGCACAGTCACCTCCACCAGCTCCTCCATCAGCAGCTCAATCCCTGAGACCGAACGTGAGTCACGTCACCCCCATTCAGCTGCCTTTTGTTGATTGTTATCATGAAGAGTTAATGCAAAACAGCTGCCATCACATTTGTGTAGGTCCTACCAACTCTTCATGCTATACGCCTGTCCTTTCTATCACATGCTTGTTAGATCTTATGATGCAAAAACCATTCGCTCTGCTGTAGCATGAGGGACGTACTTCCATTCGTTGATATTTCATTACCTCTCTTTACTTTCTGTCCTTCAAAAATGCAGGAACATCACCATTCTTCCTCACACATGTTACTAAGACTCTGTAAGTGTGGCCCCACCCTTTAACTGCATTCCTGTGACTTCTCTCTATCCCAGTGTTCAGCCTCCCAGCTTCCATCTGCTCAATAATTCTTGTCCAAACTGAGCCATAACTCAGGAGTTTAATATTCCCTGTAATCTTTGGAAATGGCTGGGATGTTTGGCTTCATGTCATGCAGAAAAACGTTTCCCCTCTCAACACATTTTTCAACCAATTAATGGTTGAAATTTCTGGAGATTTTTTTAATGTTACAGAAATCATAAAGTCACAGACCATAAATTCTGTCTACATATCTAATCTGGGAATGCCGCGAGACTTTGATTGGTGAACCGCATTTGAATTATAAGGAGGATCCTTTTTATTCAGTCTGACTGTTTTAGAGCTGCTGTAGGCTTTGAGAGGACCAGTTATGTCGTAGCCCAGTTCCAAAAAGATCCTGCTGAATCCAGCTTTGGTTCTTGGTCAAGACAAAATAGGGGTCAATTTCAGGCCAGACCACAGGAAGCCAAACTATTATTTGAGGCAAATCCCAAGAAACACGTCAGCAGTTTTGTTTCTCCCCACACAAAACCTCTGATCTGTTCTCAGTTTTTATGAACAGTTCAGCAGTTTTATACTTGCTGGAGATTTGCATTTTTAGCTAAGTATTTGTAAGTCGCTTGTTCCTTCTTATGTTTCCCAGGATTCGACGATTTCCACCTCTCAATCCACAGCGACATGGCAACTGTTGCCAAGGCCATGGCCTGTCCAGAGTCTGGTCTGGAGGTGCGGGACAGGATGTGGCTCAAGATAACAATCGCTAACGCCTTTATTGGTATGTGTATCAAAGCAGCAGCATGATCCTGCATACATCACACATTTCAGTAGTTTGTTTGCATTGTTTAAATATAGGTGTGCAAAAAGTTTTTATGTTAAATACAGACAGACTGAATGTGATCATTAAAACGTTATGACTATGAATTTATTTCCACATTGTTGTGCTTTTGTCTCCCTAGGTTCTGATGTAGTGGACTGGCTTTTCCACCATGTAGAGGGGTTCTCAGATCGCCGTGAAGCACGTAAATACGCCAGCAACCTGCTGAAAGCCGGCTACATCCGACACACTGTCAACAAGATCACTTTCTCCGAACAATGCTACTATGTCTTTGGAGACCTGTGTGGCAGTAAGTGGACTCGCATCGGCCATTTAGAGAGATCTGCTGACAGCTATTTCAACAAAAATAGTTTCCCGATTGTTACATGTTTCTTTAAAAATTCACACAAGTAAACTCAGTCAGATGTTACATCTACCTCCGGCGTAGCCAAGATTGTTGAACTGGACATAATCTACTTGTCAGCTTTAATAATGTGTATCTCAACATGCCAAACCAACAAATCACTTATGATAGGAATTAAGATATATACTCAAATCTAACTGTACTGATATTATATTTCATATTTACTCAATATTCTCATCTTTTTAAACTTTTTTTCTGAAATTTTGAGGTTTCTACCTGAATGTTTTACTCTGTTGTGCATATATGGTATTTGTGTTAGCATTTCTATATATATATATATATGACAATCCAATTTCCCCTTTGGGGATAAAAAAAAAAATCATCCATCTTTGTAAACTCGGGTGTGAAGTTAAAAACACAAGCCAACTTTTCAAAATGTTGTTCGGTAGATTTAATCAAATGTCCTCATCTGTTCCCTCAGATATGACCCACCTGTCCCTCCATGATCATGATGGCTCCAGTGGGGGTGCCTCTGACCAGGACACTCTCCCCCCTTTGCCTCACCCTGGGGCTGCCCCTTGGCCAATGGCTCTGCCTTATCAGTTTCCTATTCCGCACCCTTATGACCTGCCTCAGCCTTTCCACGGTGGGCCTGGTGCTGGCAGCGCAGGAAGCCAGCACAGCGGTGAGTGAGCAGGCCTACAAAACATGAAGCGTTTAATGTGGATGAACACTGCTATATTGCGTTTTTGATGCTTAGACATTCATTTCAGCAGTGAAATAATATTCATGTTATTTTCTCAAAATGGAAAACCTAAGTACGCGTTCCTTCAGAACGTTTTCTAAGGTTTGACAGTGTTACAAAACTTGTCATAATCAAGCCAACTGAAGCTTCATTTCATGTTTTATACAGAGCAAACTTACAGATTTTAGGTTAAGTATCTCACTAACTTACTGAACAAGGTTCTTTTTTAATTTTTACTTTTTTTTTTTGTTTAATATGTTTAATATTTTGTTTGCAGTCTCACCCCTGAGATAGGCCTGCTTAGTTTAATTAGTTTTCGTTGGTTGAGTATGTGTTTTTAATCAGTCTCTGGTCCAAAGGCATCCAAGAGAGAAAAAAATGTACATGTTCAATATGTTTAAAAGAAGGAATCAAGCACCGTGGTTTAAAAAGCAGTCTACTTAAAACTGTGGATATATATACATATTGACTAATGGCAGCTGGGCCGTCTGACACAACATCACATTTTTGTGGTCCTGACCCCATCTAAACTTTATTGGTGAATAATTCACTAGCAGGATCATGTGTGAACAACTGCATTTTTTTTGTTGTGTGCTTCCAAGGTTTCATGCTTCCAGTATTTAGGCTATTGTACGTCAGCATACCAGCCTCTCCAATAACAGAAACGGCTATGTTGTGAATGATGCTTGTTATCTCGAAAGTCCGTCGGATCGTATTTACTGTTAAAACTTTCAAATCGTCTGTGTTGAAAGCCATAAGCAAGCAGGCTGTGTGTGGCAAGGTCCAAACCTGCAGTTGCCTGTGGTAAGCTGAAGCTGTTTGGCCTGTAAAAGGCTGCATTAATCATACAGCTCTCCTCGGTCTCCCTCAAAGTGGGTCAGCTTCACATCACAGACACTCTGATGGGTGTGATACGCTTATGTAGGTCACTTGGATGACTTGTTATATCTCAAACTTGGATAATGATAATTGTGTCTTTCACTCTGTTAACAGGAAGCAGCGGCTCTAACTGCAGCAAGAATGAGGGTCGGAAATCTGGCGGCAGTGGCAGTGAATCCGAGGTCAGGAGCCACAGAGCTCCGAGTGAGCGCTCAGTGGCTCCCCCAAGTGAGCGAAGCATCCGCAGCTCAATCAGCCAGCGCAGTGCCAACTCTCACTCAATAGCCTATGGGCCTGGTCTCGTTTATGGCCCCCCTGGCCTCCCCCCCCCAGCCCGCACATCTGCCTACAGCTGCACCTGGTGCCCCACAGGGCAGAGAACTGGCCTCAGTGCCCCCTGAGCTCACTGCATCTCGACAGTCTTTGCGAATGGCAGTGGGCAATGCCGGAGAGTTTTTTGTCGACGTGATGTGACAGTGGGTTGCAGTTCAGTAGCCAAGGAGCACATTGAGCATTATCCTGTCGTAAAGCCAAGAAGGACAGCCTGACGGAGCAGGAAGGAGCACTATAGCATTTGCAATCTTGCAAATCCTATAACCTACAACCTTGATTAAACTTTTTTCAAATGCCTAAACGGAACCAACCCAGATTTGCATGCTGAGAGAAAATGTTCTTCTTCACCTGTGCTTTTCTTCCTAGTAGCAATGACCATACTTTCTTCAGTGAAGAAATCCCCTCACTCAAGATGGAACCAAAGCGCCTTCCTTAGTTTCCACCCGGCAGGGGGAGGAGAGTTTGTGCAAGTACAAAGAGCAAGAGGAAGAGGGTGAAGGAGGCGGTGGAAACAGTCAGCATGTGGAAGATGACTCAGCACTTTTCCACATTGATGTTTTTCATTTGTTCTGCTCTTAGCTGTGTCCACCTCTTCTCTGCTTTCCTTATCTAGCATTTTCTGTCTTCCCCCACCCCTATCCACGTCAAAACTGAGAGAACGAAGCCTCTTCCCTCAATCCGTTCTGTCTGTACCCAACTTGCTGACCTCTAATTTAAAAATGAAAAGTTAACCTTAATTTTTAACCTTAATCAGGTGTTTAAAATATTTGCTTGGGATAAGAGAGAAGAAAGAAATTTAAAATTTTGTATGTAGTTGAAAAGAGTTGCAGATCCTTTTCTGTAAGAATGCATTTGTTTTATTGTATACGTAGTTGGTCACAACTAGTTTAATTTTCAATCCTTAACATAAGCATTCTGCTCCAACAGTCTTTTTTTTTTTTACACTACATTGTTACATTTCCATCTACTAACTGGAGAATCTCCAGACTGTCTTGTGATAATGTATACTGTAGTGGAAAACTTTTATCTACCATGTCTTTCACACTACTTTTATCAAGAAAAAAAAGTCTTTTTATTTATAAATATAGTTTTATGACTCAAATGGGTTGCTTTTTGTCTTGTCTTTTGTTGAAAAATACCACCCTGAACACATTTCCATTTCACCTAAGGTCATATTTGCATTTTAAGAGTAGTGGAGTCCAAACTATCTTAACAGCAGGAATGTGAAGGTTGAGCAGTCTGGTCAACAAGCGTGTGTGTGCGTGTGTGTGGACTGTGGGTGTGCACACTGTTCGAATTTACTCAGAACCGAATGAACCTGTGCAAACTTTTTAGTTTCAGGTGAGACAAACACGTGAGGCTAATTTGACTAGTTGTGGTAGAAAGTCGCGACAATAAACAAAAATGACTGTAGGACAGGCTAAATAAGGCACGACCAAAGGTTAATCTGTAAACATTTGGGAGATTTTCCCAGCTGGATTGTACAGGGAAATTTGTATTGTTACTCCCATTGACAATAAAGGCCTGTAGGTCCCTCTCTGGTGCGATGGAGGTATTGCAACGTAAGGACATATAGCGATTCGTGCTAACCGCGATCCCAGTCCTGTGTTAAAAGGAGGAATAGTCCGGCCATTATGTCTGCCTAGGTAAGCCATTACCATTTATGAAAAATTTTAAATCTAATAATGAGTAGCTTATCAACATAAGGCCTGGGTGCGGTTTATACATCGTTGTAGCCGCGCCTTTTCCTGTCACTACCGAACGGTCGTGCGTAAGAACGGCGGGTCAGCTGACAGCTATCAGTGGACGGAGCAGAATTAGCGGGTGTGTGAGTAGTGGTCCTGTTGGACATTTACACACACATTCACGGCCAAACGGGGGTGTGTGAAACACTGGTGGCGTTCGTGAGTGAACCTGGGTAAGTTCAGTGAAGGCAACATGGCTACGTTTTCCTGGCCAAAACGGTTAACCATGGCCCTGTAACCGTAACGCTAAGCCGGTGAGCGCTTCCATTCGTGGGCGATGCTAACATTAGCAACGTTAGCCGATGCTCCGCAAGCTAACGTCAAGGTAGCAGCAGTTAGCTGCACAGAGACGGAAAGGTAGCAATTTTTGAATGAGGTGGAAAGCACGAAGGTTGATCGTCATTTCACTTATACACCAGTCACAGTCGTTGTGGGGAGCGTATGCTACAAATTAACACTAGTAGCATGTCCGACGTTTGTATTAAAACGTTCCATTATAACCTGGCGTTAATCTATGGGTTTTATTCTCACCGGAAGTCCTTTTAAAAATCCGCTCTGGTCGACGGTGTCTTTCTAAACGTTATGGCAAGCTAACTCCCTTTGGTAAGCTAAATTAGCTAGCTCCCTCTCGCTCGGTGTATTCTCCATCACTTCGATGTTAGTGAAGGTCAAGCCTTCATATGTACCTTAAGCGCTTAAGAATGTTTCCAACTAAACGTTTGGAGAAGCTTCAACCCTAGTTGGCCGAGGTACAGTTGAAGTCATACAAAATGTATGAAGGGCTGGGAAATGGCCTGAGTGAGCAGACATCTTGACTTCGCTAGTAAAAGAGCGATTAAACCCCATTGAGATCTGATGGATGGTTTAGTCAGTCACGACTCTTGGGTTTGTTAGCAGGGGAACATTTCACCCATCTTAAACTCGTATATGAGTTGGGCTGTGTTAGGCGCCCTGCGTTTGAAGTGTCTGGATTCTATCTTCGAGGAATTTCAAGCATGCCCTTCATCCCCCTTTTCCAGAAAAATCATTTTTATCTAGGACAGTTTCCTGTGACATGCTTGTACAGTTTCCCAAAGAGCTAATTTGCTCAACAGCAATACATCAGGTGATGGTTGTTTGCGTCAATGTACAGTCTTATTGAAATTAAAATTTTGGTCTCCTGAGATCCAAGAAGAATCCCGTAATGAAGACTGTTAACAGATTTGTAGCTGGACACCTTATGGTGTCCTGCCAAAGTCTGATGGTTGCTAATCTGCTGTTAATCTCACTCTCAAGGAAGAGACAAATGGGAATTGTCTAGTAAGAGTGGTGAGAGTCTTCATCGCCTTTATTGGTGTCAGTGTTGATATGTTTGTATACGTGTGTGTATATTTGATTTGTGTGTGTCGTGCAGCTGCAGGATATATTCAGCTGGCAGCAGGATTAATGTATGCCTGTGAGTGAGGGACAGAAAAGGCGGATGTAAGGACAAACGCTTCTCTGTGCTGTGATGACTCTCTCACTTTTCACTGCTTTCACTTCACTATCTGTCTTGTTCCATCCCCCTGTTTCCTTCCTAAATGTCTGTCTCTTCTCAGGAGGCGTTTGGTTTCACCATGGCACGTTGGGATTGAGAGGCAGCCACAATGATTGGAGGACTGTTCATCTACAACCACAAGGGGGAGGTCCTCATCTCCCGCGTCTACCGAGATGACATAGGGTATGTTTCATCTCACCAAACTGGCTAAAAAGCTGCCGAATTTCAGGGGGAAAAGCTTTAGGCCAGAAGGTCCAGATCTTATTTAGGCTGTTAGGTTAATCCTAGTTGTCAGGATTATGTCTGTCTATACAGTTGAATGAATGTTGTGCTGTTTAAAAGAACTAGATTTAAGTCAGGATTAGTAGAGGATTGCTTAAAATTCCAAGTAACATGGGTTTTCACCTTCTTAAAATAAGGTTCATTTTTAGATGTTTCCAAAATCGCAATATTCTCAGATAAATGGCTTACACACTCAGCATAAATACATCTAAAAGATCTGCCATCATTCACTTTTTTCCTTCTATTGTCTCAGGTAAGGGTTATGTGCGCTCTTCCAACAGCTTCAACGTCACAGCGCACTTTGAAAATGATTTCAAACTGACATCAAAGGAGACAATTATAACCACATAGCAGAATAGTGATGAATGTAAATGTTTCTATTGTCTAACTTAGATTTGTCAGGGCTCAGTCACATTTTGCACACTTTAAGTTGTGCTTTTTAAAAAGAAAAGGAATAATTGTGCAAGTTCTGCTTTTTATTGTGATCTTGCACATTCTCTGTTGCTATCATTCAATAAAAACACAGAACAATTTTGAGCAGATGTTCTAGAAAGGTCTAACTGCCCCGTAGGAGTCATTTGTACATTTGCATTTTCATCTCTCAGAAGTCTGGTCTTCAGGTTTGGTATTTGATCTTTGTGCTTTGTTGTTGCCGTTCAAAGAAGGCTTATTTTGTTTGTATCTATTTTACATTTCTGTCTTGCAGATGTCTCATGTTTTACAGTAGAACATGTACATTCAGTTGATACTTTAATGCAATTTGTATTCATTAATTACAGAACCTGGATTAGGATGTTTGCCAGTATTGACTAAGTTCCCTTATAGATTAACAGAGGGAAGGTCATACTGTGCATGGAGGGCACAAGGGCAAGGGCTGATCCACGTAGTGTTGGAAATTTAGGTGTACTATACCAATATTTGAGCAGATCTGGATGGGTTTTTCTTTCCTACTTTTAATTAATTGAACTGTTGTTGCTGTAGGTTGGCCAAAAATACACAAAGTTTTATACACTGCTCACACAGTGGAAAAGCCATTTTTAAAAAAGGAGGAAAAATTATGACAACTACTTATCAGGAGTGACTGACTTTTCATATGCAGCACACTTGATGGGATGGAGGTTTGTGAGCGTGCACGCGCTTACTTTGATGCATTTTGGTCTCCCCTGCTGCAGCTGCAGTAATGTAGAGGAAACCAGACGTCAGACGTCTCTGGCTTTTTTTTCTTTTTCCCCCTTTGACAGATATTCTGAACTCTGAGCTAGTCTATAACTGTGAATGAACTTTCAGCTCTGTATGGAAGTGCTAAAGATTTATGAATGCTGAACACACTTTTCCATTTACTTGTGTTAAAACACACTGAGAGAACAGCAGATGTTTTCTTTACATGTTCTGCTGCTAAGAGGACATTATAAACCCCATGTTACTCACTCTGTCTACATGATGAACGAAAATGTCTCCTGTACATTTTTGTCAGTCCTCGTCTGTTACTTCATCCCTTTCTCCTCTCTATCCTCTGTATCACCATTGTTCTCCCATCTTTTCATCTTGGCCCCTGTAGGAATAGGTAAGATCTGCTGCAGCCTGTAAAGCATGAATCTCCCCCTCATGGTCACCGCTCCGTGATCCCAATAGCCCCCAAACTGCATGCCCATTTATTCCACAATCGGTTTCCTGATAGTTCCTCTGAGCATGAGCCACCTGTCATGCTACTGCAGAGATAAACGGATAGCCTTCATATTGAAACGCAGCAGCAAATCAATAAAAAAAAAAGTCTAGCCTTTACCACGGCCTTTCGGTGAATAGTTCTGTTCATTATTAGCTTTGCTGGTGCCCAAGCATGCTGTCTGCGCATGGGATATAATGGTTAATGTAGTTCTCCTGTCCTTTGTTCCTGACCTCAGTTATCTCTCTTTTTTTTTTTTCCTCAGAAAATCAGAGCCATGGTTTTAAACTTTGCTGATAAGATGTTTCATTATATGGATCTCAATGTATATCTGTGGAATACTTTTGCCGTTTGTTATAGGAACTCCAAGATCACCTCCCTGGTTTCTAGAGTCATTAGCGGACACTGTATGTCCCAGTTTATGTGATGTCATCCATGAAGGCCGCTTCTTGTCCATTTGTTTGTCACAGTACAGTTCAGTAGAAACAATCAATGCAGTAATATTTGTTTAAGGGGCTGCACACACTGCTGGCCTTGGCGCCTATCGATTCTCCGTACATAATTTTTAATGTTCAAATGAGAGAAAGGTATGAATTTTCAGAGGATGCAGATTTCAGGGGGTTCTCAGACATTTAGCAGAAGGATTTGGTATTTTTGTTAGAACATGTCATATCCCGTGTTACTAAATCCCCCTTAATTATGGCTGGGTTTTCCCAAACTGGCTTTGCCAATACAGCAAAGTTATAACTTAAACACCGGCTCACTAATAGGTAATTCTGATCAAATGTAATTTGGATATATTTACTTAAAATATAAGTACGTTTTTTTTTTTTTTTTTAAGATAAAGGTGAACTGAAAGTCATCTTAATTCTCTGTCTGTCATTCTGGTTATCATCAGTATTTACACAAAGCAGCACCAGCTCTTGGGTTCTTTTTTGTTGTCAGGACTTACCTTTGAGAAAGTTACTAAGCTGTTGTTATATGGTGACAGCATCCACTTAACGGGACCAACATTGTGTGCGTCTAAAGCGTCAAGCAGTGACCCACATGCCTCTTGTGTCTGTCTTGCTCATTTTGCTTCCTAGACGTAACGCCGTGGACGCGTTCCGTGTGAACGTGATTCACGCTCGGCAGCAGGTTCGATCCCCTGTGACCAACATCGCCCGTACCAGCTTCTTCCATGTCAAGCGCTCCAACATCTGGTTGGCCGCCGTCACCAAGCAGAATGTCAACGCCGCCATGGTGTTCGAGTTCCTTTACAAAATGTGCGACGTTATGACGGCCTACTTTGGCAAAATCAGTGAGGAGAACATCAAGAACAACTTTGTGCTCATCTACGAGCTGCTGGACGGTAGGAGTCTGGCAGCATTACGCCCCGTTGAATTTCTCTTTGACTGTTGTATTGATTCAAAATTTGTTATTCGAAACTGGATAGTTTCATCCCTGCCCCTATCTTTCATCCCTTTAGCCAATCTAATCTCTTACCATCCGTTATCTTATTTAAAATTAAATTTATTTTTTTTGTTTAAACAGAGATCCTGGACTTTGGCTACCCCCAGAACTCAGAGACTGGAGCCCTGAAGACCTTCATCACCCAGCAGGGCATTAAAGGACAGGTAAGAGCAGATCTAATGGCTCAGATGCGAATTGACTCAATAACTTCCTCTGTCTGATTTTAGCAGGTTAACGCCTACATTAGAAGCAACAAACAGTGTAGTTTAAAAATGGCCATTCAGCTTCTGTTTAAAAATTACATAAAAAAGGCTCTTCATAAAAAAACTTTGAAATTAAACCCTGTTCTCTTTCTTTTTGTTTCCTTCCTTCAACTGTCGCCCATGGACCCTTCAGCACCAGGTAAAAAAAAGCTGCTCCCGCTCTGCTCTTCCTCCCTTTTGTGGGAGCTTGTCATTTGGTTTCCATTTGGTGGTCTACTTTTCTCCCGGACACCGCCCTCTTTGTGTAAAATCCTGTCCACCTTCCCCTTTTGTTGGTTTTAATGCAGCTTCTCTCTCTGTGGCTCTCAGACAAAAGAGGAGCAGTCTCAGATCACCAGCCAGGTGACGGGGCAGATCGGCTGGCGTCGTGAGGGCATCAAGTATCGCCGCAACGAGCTCTTCCTGGATGTACTGGAAAGCGTCAATCTGCTCATGTCTCCCCAAGGTCCGTCTGCGAAACCTCAGGCCTCTAACCGTAGCAAGCGGCCCCCTATTTCAAAAAGTGTGCAGAGCCTGAACTCTGTGGCCACTTTTAAAGCCGGTAACTGCTGATCCCTTTGCCTCACCCCTCCAGGCCAGGTCCTGAGCGCCCACGTTTCAGGCAGAGTTGTCATGAAGAGCTACCTGAGCGGAATGCCTGAATGCAAATTTGGCATGAATGACAAGATAGTCATCGACAAACAGGGCAAGGGAGGAGCGTCCGACGATGCAGGGAAGAGGTGAGTGCAGTTTTGAAGAGGAAGAACCTGCATGTTTTCTGGAGGATGAAAATCGGTTGGCAGTTCTTACTTCCTCTTCGTGCTTCTGTCTCTGATGCCCTGAAGGCTGCTGTGTGTTTGTTCTGTTATCAGTGTTCTAGCTGTTGTTCACAACGAGAAAGTCTGTGGTTTTATTTTTAATTTTGCTTTCCTTTGGATGCATCTCTCCTTTCTTTTCCCTCTTTCTTTTCTATGTGCTGTACAACAGTGATTTAGGGGGAGGAAGGTACTGTACTGACAAGTGTCCTCACCCTCTGCCACATCAACACTCACCCCCCCTGTCTTGTCTAAACCTTTAAGCATATTCATATATCTTATGAGCTGCCCCCCCCACCTACACCACCACACTCCCATTTCAAATGAAAGCTTCCTTTGTAACTCCTCTGTGGACTACCTAATGGCTGTTTACCTTTGTAGTTAGAAGCTAAACATTTACCCAAACACCCACAAACACACTGAAATTTAAATGTGTAATTGAAACTTGAACCAGGTTTACACAATATGTTCGTTAGTCGTGTCCCTCTGATGTGTAGTGACTGTTTAACTTTAGACAGAGGGAGTGTGTTAGTTTTATCTTTATGATTGCACTAGTTTTTTTTCTTGGATCTTTTTCAAACATCTAATGATGTTAAACTGGTTGACTACTGTGTGTATGTGTGTGTGCCTGATGTGTTTTCTCTCCCATCAGTGGGAAGCAGTCAATAGCCATCGATGACTGCACTTTCCACCAGTGTGTGCGTCTCAGCAAGTTTGACTCTGAGCGGAGTATCAGCTTCATCCCTCCTGATGGAGAATATGAGCTAATGAGGTTAGTGTTTTGTTGTTTGTTTCAGAAAGGATAAAGAACACAACTGGAATAATTGAAACATTTAATTATTTAAGATCCTGCTCTACAATGCTTAAAATGTTCAAGACCAAGTATTAATAAACAGAACTACATGTTTCTTCCTAAGAAAATTAGCGTTTGAAAAAAATCAAATAAAAGTTCCTTCCTTACTTCCTACAGATATCGCACCACTAAGGATATCATCCTGCCATTCCGAGTAATTCCTCTGGTCAGGGAGGTGGGCCGCACTAAGTTGGAGGTTAAGGTGGTCATCAAATCCAACTTCAAACCTTCGCTGCTGGCTCAGAAGATCGAGGTCAGCTCTTCCTCTTGTCATGCAACTCAGCCATATACTTGTGTAGCAAACTGTTGTATGATCAGAGATTTCCTGGAGAGCAGCCATCTGCTATTGTGAGTGTGTCATTTTATTGTTTTACAAGCGAAACGTTTCCGTTTTGCTCCCTCCACAGGTGAGAATCCCTACACCGCTCAACACCAGTGGGGTGCAGGTCATTTGCATGAAGGGAAAAGCCAAATACAAAGCCAGTGAGAACGCCATTGTGTGGAAGTGAGTATCAGCTGTGTCTAACCCTCTGTTTAATGATGAACAGCTTCGCCACACCCACAGCTCTCCATCATAACCTCTCATGAATGTTTATTAACGGCTCATGTATGTCTGTAGGATCAAACGTATGGCTGGCATGAAGGAGTCTCAGATCAGTGCTGAGATTGAGTTGTTGCCCACCAACGATAAGAAGAAATGGGCCAGGCCTCCCATCTCTATGAACTTTGAGGTAAGAATAGCTGAGTGGCATGGCTCTGCATGCTAAAGCCATGCATATTTCTGTCTTATTATACCCAACAACCCCACAAACCAGTCCATATAAATGAGCTCTGGATATCTCAGTACCTGTGCTGTATATTGTTTCTATTTGATATTTGCTCTCGCACTCAAATGCTTCCTGCTACGAGGACGCTAGCGTCCCACACGTTCCGACGCGCTTTTCACCTTCATCCTCTCGGCTCCGCAGGTCCCTTTTGCTCCATCTGGCCTGAAGGTGCGTTATTTGAAGGTATTTGAGTCCAAGCTCAACTACAGTGACCACGATGTCATCAAATGGGTGCGGTACATCGGCCGCTCCGGCATCTACGAAACCCGCTGCTAAAGCTCAACCCCACCTGGCAGCAAATTGACCACTTCCTTCCCATCTATCCTGTTTAGAATTTTTTCTTCCTACTTTGTCTCATCCCCCCCAGTCTTTATCACTTCTCTCCTGCCCCAATCATCTCTTCTTAACTAAGTGTTGAAGATTGAATTTACATCGTTTAAAAAAGGAAAAAAAAGTAAATATGGTATAATGCACAGATATATGCAAAATGTGAACCATTGTATCGTATATATCTAGTAGTGATGAGTAAATTGTAAACCAACTGGTGTCCGAAAGAAAAAGACCAGTGATGCAGGGGCTCAGGGGGAGAGTACTGGAGACTTAAACGGATGCTCTGTTTGCTCAGTGTTATTGTTCTGCTATCTAATCTTCACTTTAGAAGCCCCATATGCCAGTTATCCCAGGTAAGATGGTTATCGCTGTTGTGATTTAAGACGAATCCCGATAGTTCCCGTATACAGCCCATTAGTCTTTACCCTCTGAATCAGCTATTTGATCTGTGTTGTTGGACCTTCGTTATTTGGATCTTATATTCTTTGCTCAGCAGGATAACAACGGCCTGTGTATGAGTCATCTAAAAAGAGAAAATTATATTGTACCGCCTTTTTTGTACTTACAAGTGTATTCTGTTTCTGTAGTCTTCTTCTTTTTTTCCTCCTTCAGTAAAGTCAAATTTAAAACATGTCAGGCACGTTTTTAAGATTTGACCATCATCCTGATGTGATATTTTTCTCAATACATCCCACAGATATTTTTTAAGCACTAAGATCAAGTTTGTCACACTATTTTTGAGTCAAAGATCAGTCCCTTTGCAGTGAGGTGAGGTCTCCCCCTGGTGTTTGCTTCGCCACAGTCTGCTTCTTCATGTTTGTAGCCCTGGTGACCGTTCTGTCCAATAAAATCTATGTAACCAAATCCACTGGTCTTTGGTCTTTCTCGTTCTCCATTCAGATAGTGTTTGTTTTAATTCCACTGCATCTGTTTTCCTCTGGATTGTCTGACACAGGAAGCAGCTCTGTGTAGGAATGCCAGAATTATGTAAACACACTGCAGTCATTCTTCACTTTTTTTAAGACCTTTGTTTAAGTCCTTTTAAAAAAATGTTTTACAGAGATTACACAAGCTTGAAATAAAATAAAAAGATACACTGAGAATTTAGAATTCTGACTGAATAAACACAACGAAATGGACAATGCTTTGGCCAACATTTTATTTTGCTCTTTCCTCTACATCAAGATTGCCAGACAAAAATAACCCCAAACAGTAACATAAAACATGATTAAAACAACTTTTTTTAAAACATTTTTTTTTTGCCTCTTATTGTTATTAGTAGTGGCTGTTGTTGGCTTACCGCTCTTCTCCTTATGGACATGCTTGTAATGATAAGGTGTACGTTGCTTCAAAAAGAAAGATTCCACGAGAATCAAGGCAAGGCTTCCCAAAAGTAGCTTAGCACCACAGTGGGCTGGATGTTTGTTTATTCTCTGCGAATTACACCAGATCTGAATTATTTTCCCCTAATGAAATCTGATTTTGCATCCATGAGAATAGAAATGGTCTGTGTTGTTCCAGCAATGATTGTTTCAAACCAAAAGGAGCTAATGGGAAACCAAGCCTAGAACAGATGGGTCTGACATCTTTTAACATTTATCTCAGTCGACAACAGCATTGCATTACATCCTCTGATCACATGATGTCTTGTTCTTGCTGACAAAGGAGACACGACACATTTGGGACACAAGAGAGGACAGGAAAACCCTCATTTTTGACAGTCAGCTGACTTCATTCTACCCAGGAAGGAAAAATAATCCTCAGACTTTGTGCTTATCCTGGGAAACAGTGGAAGGAGGTAGCTACATAAAGGATGATCTGGAGTGTTTAGATCCAACTCCTCTCCAGTACCATCTGATCCGTTAAATCCTCTAAACTCACATATGAGAAGCAGCTTTAATGGAAGTCCTGTCTTACAATTTTTGGGGAAGCTGTGTACATTTTGCTCTGCGTTGTTCATGAAAGAAACCCATCTGTTGCTAAATGGACTCCAGCTGACCATGTTCTCGAGTGAAGTAGGGTGCGTATTTACTTTAGATATACAAAAACCAAATACGTTATCATCACAACACTTTTCCACAGGCCCAGATCTAGATAACATAAGAGAGAAGAACACAGAAAAAGCCCACCTTCCTGGTGCTGATTCTCTGCCCACACTGAAAAAGCACAGGAATGAAAGACTCCAAAAATAAGCAATTCTTCAACAACATTTAAAACGTGTCATCCATTCCCACACGCCACTGAAAGGCGCCTTGTTTGAAAATAGTCTTCCAAAGACTGATTCTCGTCAGAAGACAATAAATTCTAAAGCAAATTTATTACTATAAGCAATAAAGTTAAGAGCTCAGATCTGTCAACAGGTGGAACATGCTGATCTGCAGAGTTTGCTCACACACTGCATGCACATACACTAACACACTTGGACCCGATGCAGACAACACCGGTAGAAAAACACTGCGCTTAGCATCCACTCTCAGATTCCGCTGGGATCTCACCTGATCTGGAGATTTCCTGTCACTTTATGAGAAAAGAGAGCTTGGTTTCATGTTACCATCAGCAGAATATAAACTGTCTCGCAGCAGATCATTTCAAGGTTTTCCAACCTGCTCTAATAAAGCTTCCCATCAAAACTACAATTTCTGGTGCAACAAGATACCAAAAACCTGCAAACAACGAAGCACCTATCGGCAGAGCTGGAGCGGTGAAGAGAGCCACTGCTACTGAAAATATTCCAGTGGCAGCGAGTGACTAACAAAAAAAAAATTGATACATGTAACTTTTAAAAGAACTCAAAGGGTGCAGATGTAACTTTAACCTTCACCGACCATTAAGCAGAAAAAAAGATGGAAAATGGCTGTTAAAAGCTTGAGCTGGAGAAAGTCTGGCTTTGAATGTGAATCTAACACTGAAGTGCTAAAAGTAAAACCATAAAACAAACAGAATTCGAAATGGGGGTTGGACGAAAACCAGGCAGCTCAACCGCTCTGTTCACTCCCATCTGACCTGTCAGAGCGCAATTAAAGAGGTCTAGTTGTCGTCGTCTTCGTCGTCGTCCTCGCTGATGAGGTATCCGCGCGCCCCGCTGTGGTGGGGGGGTGAGGGGGGGGGAGATGTCTTGGAGAAGAAGGGGAGGCGGAAAGTGGGTGAGGGAGAGCGCTCCTCCCGGGTGGGGCTGCTGCTGGGGCTTTGCCTGGGGCTGATGGCTTGCAGCATGCGGCCTTTTCCCTCTTTCAGCATGTGCTTCTGCAGAGGGGGAAGAGCATGCTTCAGGTTTACAGGCTAACCAGTCCCCCCGCCTTTCCTTCTTTTAAATAATTAATTAATCATTTTCAAGCACCCAGACATCACTTTTGAGACAGTTCTAAAAAAAACAAAAAGAAATGATTTTTTAAAAAGTATTTTTTGCCATCTTAGGATTTCAAAGAATTGAGATGTGTGCATTTTCTTTGGAAGGTTGGTGTCGCGAGATGCATTGTGAGCTCTGTTTTGGGATCTGGATTTGCAGTGGGAGCTTTGGCTTTGCTCAGAATCTTTGGCCAAATGGGTTTGTCACTTCAGGGCAGACTGTTCTCCCTGTTTGTGAAAAGTTTGAGTGATCAAACTTTTAAAACCTCCAAACAAAGTCTCTCCTTAATACACATACAGAGAAAACATACTTATGCATTTTTGGCAGCAATACAGGTGAATTAATTAATTTATCCCCATAGTTCCTACCCTCTGTCCTGAGAGAGTTTATGATGTAAGAAAGCCAAACATCAAACTAAATCCCCTCCTCTCTGTAGAAACTTTTAGATAAAAGCCATTCTGTGAATTCAACCCACGTGGAGACAGACTGGCACAAACTGAATCAGCTCAGTATGTGCACATTCCTCAGCCACACGTCACTTCCCAAAAGGATCCACATTTCCAACAATGGAAACTTTTAACAGAGGGAAGAGCTTGGAGAGCGAATGAACATTTGCACTGAGCACCTGTATTAAAATTCTTTGGACTGATTTTTTAAAAACAGAAGTCCAATTTAGCATTCTTTGAAGGAAAAGAAAAAGTGCCTTCTTTCCACTGCAAAACTATTTAGATCAGCATGTGCAGTTTATCTCTCCTGACGACATACTGACTACAGATCGAGCAGAAGGAGCCTCCTCACCAGAGCTCCTTCAGGCCCAAACATCTGCAAGAAGTTTCCAATGAACTCCCTAGATTTCTCTTCCCATTTCTGGATCAGGTCGATGCTTTTCTCTTCCACCTTCTGGACAAACTCTTTGCTCTTCTCCTCGACGTCACGCACCTTCCTCTTCACCTTATCTACTCGCTCCTGCAGGTGGTACTTCTTTTCCTGGTAAACGTCAGTACAGCGGAAAAAGTCAGATTACAGATAAAATCTTAAGCTTCAAGACGTTCACTATGAATTCTCAAGCATGGCAGAGTCGCTTCACGCATTTCTTTGAAATTTCCTGCACAGATCGGGAGCCAGGGGTGCAAAATAAAGTACCAGGAAGTTGGAAGAAAACAGGCTAAACTGCACTGGTGGAAAACCATCAAAAATCCCACAGTTAAAGCACGGTTGCATACATTGATGAAGCTGACGTTGAGTTCTTTAGCTGTGTATCCTCTCTGCAGGTTGCGTCTCACATACACATCATAGTCACGGACAATTCGGGTAATGATGTCAGAGGTGGAAATGCCCTCTGTCCGTTGGGTCGGAGCAAACATACCTAAGACACATGAAACAGGAAGACGTGAATAATCCTGACAGTAACATGCTCACTGAAATGTGAAAAACAACATTACGATAGTACTGAAAGGTTGCCTGCTGTGCTAGCTTTTAATCTTCTAATGCAATAAGGACTCAGTGATTGATAATTTATTACATCCTACTGTAAAACCCATGTATACCAAATCATTAATATTTTCACATTCTATGGGAAGACATTTTAATCTCTTCATGGTTGTTATTCTTTTTTGGCACTCACCAGCTTCTTTAATGTGCTTGTACACATCGTCACTGCCGGCTGAGGAGTACGGGATGTCGTCGTGTGCCACAAAGTCAATCTGCAGAGAGAATTATAACATCGATCAACCCAGCCGATTCAATTTGTACCAAGACCAAACCACAAAACAGAGAACCAACACCACGCTTCCAGTCCGCCTCCCCTGCCCGCTTTGTTTTCTCTGAGTCTGCCACTCACGCGATGTTTTGCCAGGAACTCCGGCGATAGCGTCCAGGGAGCATTTCGCACCACTTCGTCCACATAGCGGCAATGCCTGATGGCGTCGTATCGCTCGTCCTCGTTCATCACTGTGAAGCCCTTGTATTTGTGGGTTAAGTCATCACTGCACACTGAGTGTGAAGAAAAATACAGCAAAATGACTGTTCAAGCCAAAGTGATGGAACTGGGCAGCTGTTTCATTCAAAGAAGAGGGCACTAGAAAGAGGCCAATGGTCGAGAAGGCCCCACTGTAAAACAAAGAAAAGCAGACACTGAAGAGTTCAATGTACACAAACCCAGACCCCTACGCTCACCCCCAACGATGAGGTGTGTGTTTGGAAAGAGGCATTTTGCTTGCATGAGAGCTCTGGCATGACCCGAGTGGAAAACATCAAAGATGCCATCTGCATAGACTCGCACGGGTCTGTCAGCTGGATGGAGAGAAACAGGGTGAGACACACAGGGAAGACTGAGGTTATACTATTCATTCTATGTACCTACATAATCTGTATGTGTGAACGCGGTTCCAGCTAACATGAACCTTTCTGTTATTTGAAAACAAAGATATACAAAAACTCAGTGCAGCCAAAAGCCATCAGAGAGACAGGAGGTTCAGACTCACGAGGCGTTGCCCTCTTTGCCTCTTCCATGCTGACTCTCTTGTACGGTTTACCGTCAGCCGGCTCAAGCTCATCTGCAAAAGGTGCAGGGTGTTTCAATCCCTACAGGACCGAAACGCAACAGAAGGAATCTTTATTCATTCCTGTAAAAATTATTGCTCAACATCAAAAGAATTAGTTTGCAACATTCAGCCTGGGCGCTTACAACACGCGATGATGTGGTAATTAAAGGTGTTGATCAAGTGTCAAACAGAGCAGACATCAGCTGAAATGTACATTTTCTCTGAAGAGAACACACAGGACAGGACAAACAGCGAATGTTGGACAAGCATGCTGCTCAGTGACAGCCGACTCACAACGGTGCATCTGGGGATTTTAATGAGTCTTTCTCCCTCCTCAGTCTCCCCGTTGGAACCCTCTCTTCTTCTCTTCCTGGACAGCAGAAGATCACGGGAGGTTTGCGCCTCCATCTGGGTCAAAGGAACCAGAATACAGTTTAAGCATGCCATCCTGCTAATGTTTGCTGCGTCCTTGTGTAAAAATAAAACGGGAATACAGATATAAAAACTCTATTTTACACTGCCGTGGACACAACTTCCTTACATAACCTTAGGAGACTGGGCTGACTGTAACTTTAGACAGCTGTCAGGTTATGGAAGCAGACTCCTGCATAGTCAACTTTGACCGAGTAACAGGGGGAGAACATAATATGTGCCTTGGCTCTGTAAATCCCCAGGATGCCTTGGACTGAATTAAAAAAAAAAAAAGCATGGCCTTCTCAGAGAAATAATAAGTCAAACACCAGCTGATCTGACAGTTTGTCTCCAATGTGTAATAATATCTAACTTTATATCCGATCCCAGGATATATATATATCTTTTTTTTTTTTTTTTTACTTCACTTCTCCCCGCAGGTGAATGTGCCTGAGTACATATCAAGTTTGGCACAGAACGCCCAGAGCTGCTTCACAAGAATCAACAGGCCACTTTTATGAAAGATAAGGATCTATTTCATCTACATTTTCTATGCCCATGACTGATGGCACAACAGTTTTTCTAATGTGACTGCAGAGCTGTAAATGTGCAGGGGAAACCGTAAAGCAACTTCACTTCAAAGCTAGGTTTGAGGACAGCTTAAAAGTTCTATCTGTGAAATTTAAACCATCTCATCTTTATCTATTCTCAGCGTAAGTTTGTGAAGAACTAGATGTGCTCATTTGTTTTGTTTATAGGCAAACAAAGAACGAATAAGAGGGCTCAGGTTGGTGCTTGTTCTTGTAAAAGCAGCTGCCACAGAACTAGAAGCAAATATGCAATCGCTGCAAAAAGGCTGCAGAGTGAGTCAGAAAGAAAATGTAAAAGTTATTTATTGATAAGTGTTTGAATTTATAGCTGTACTAATCCCATTCACACACCCCTAGCCCAGCAGAGAATACTGCAAAAGCAAACAATCTGCCAGGATCCAATTACATGGTTTCCTATGTTATTGGTTTAGGCTCTGCCCCATTCCAAGCATTCCATCACCCCAAAGGTCATCAAGGTCCGAGCTCAGTTATATTATTATGAGTCTAAGTTACTTCATTTTTTTATCGAATGATAATAACATCCTCTGGCGAACATCTGTTGCTGTGTCACTTATGATTGAGTCACTACAATGACACAAGGACATGGCAGTCCACAGTGGCGACGACTCGATCCAACACTTGCAAAAACACAAAGAAACACACACAGCTATTGGCAGCAGCTGAGCGCTGAGATTGTGAAGCCTGCATTTCTCTTAGTCAGAAAAGGTTTAAATGAACGTCAGATGTCAGAATATCTGCCACCAGCTGCTGAAATACCAACATAAGGAAGAGACGTTTTTGTTAAACTGGTTGAAAAGCCACAAACCCAGATAGTTATTTCTCATTTGTTTTGTTTTCCAGTTCCATTTTAAATCACTAATCTGCCATTAAGATGAGGTAAACACAATCTATTGTCTATCTAAACCTCTTTTTTTTTCAATCAACTGTCCAAATCATCAAGATGACAACAAATCCTTACTTATGAGGTCAATCATGACAAATCAACGCTCCAAAATCAACAATCAGATCATTTTCTGTGAAGCGATCTCTTGATCTATTCATTTCGACAACACTTTTGACAACCAACAACTAACTTCCAATGACCTTCTAGGGTAAATCTGTTGATATTCATCATTTTTAACTTGACAGTTGTCCGGAAAACAGGTTTCAGCAATACTCCACTAAACGTTTACAAAGTCATGATTCTCACCAGCTTTAAAATAACCGTTTAAACAACTGTGGCAAGATATGATCGAACTTTCAGAAGGAAACACAAATGACCAAAACAGTTAACCGAGCGCCCGAACTGGCGACACTGGTTGAGCAGTTCAGCCGTTTAAACCCTGGATTACTTTACATGACGATTTCGGGAAAGCACTCTGTATATTCAATACGCCAAAGGCCCCTAACCACGGGTTTAGGTCAAGTTTAACAGCTGCTTTACTTTTATACCGACTTACCTTTTACTCTTTCGTGCGGAACGCTACTTTGGAGCGGTGGGCGGCTTCCGACTCTTCCACTGCTATGAGTCGAGCTAACTAACAGCAGGAAAGCTAACTAATACCGCTAGCTACCGCAAATGCTAGCAGACCAGCTAGCTGTCAAGTTAAGTGGCAGTGTGCTAGCTTTAGCCGTTAGCACGTTAAATGTCTTGCATCACTGCTGTAAAAACAAAAGGGAACCATCCAGAGCGTCTCCAACGCCCCAGTAGTCACTGAGTCTGTGGAAGGAGGACCTAGAGGACAGAATGTATCAGCTGTGACAGCATGTAACTACAACGCTGACAGGTCACCAGCACAGGAACTACAAAACTTTGATGCCTTGAAAGGAAATGACATAGCCAAAGAGACGTTTGTGGACCAGTTTGGTGGTGCCCTCTAGTGTGAAAATTTATGCATACGGAAAAATAACTCCTAAACATGACTTGACACGAATTGCAGATTCATTTTTGTCATTTAAAAATTAGACTTTTTCTTAAAGCATTTTTTTATATTTGTCCTCTCATGTTTTATTAAGTTAATCTTCTCTTACTTCCAGGATGGTTCTGTGAGAATAAAGAAAATATTTTGAACCATTTTTGTGGTGTGTCACGAGCTGGAAAAAAGAAACAGTCCATTAACTATCATGCATTCAAATTTTTGTATTCATTCCCCAACCCTTTCTTTAATAGTTTAGCAAAAACACAAATGCTAAAAATACTATTTTTTGTATGTTTAACATATTGAAATCCTATTACCCTCTCTAAAAAGTTCATTTTAAAAAATGACTTCCATCAATTACTTCCATCAAACCAAGCATATTTATTCTATCATTTGTAGCCAAACACTACATTCATGGCATAGAATAGAGGTGTCAGCCATACCTCTAGTGTCACCTATTTCTTCCTCATCTTTGAATTAAGATGTTTTTTTTTCTTTTCATTTTGTAACGAGGAGTAAAGAGCTGCAAAACCACACTCTTTAAGTGACCTTAATCTGTCCCACAGAACACACCAGAGAAAGGTAATATTTTCCTTTAAGATCAGAAGGGCACATGCTATGATAATTAGCATGTGCTAGTTGTAGTACAGTGGGGCAATTCAATCTTCTTTGCAGGAGTGTACAGTTCTATATTGTTATGATTTAGGTGATCAGCTTTTATGAGTCTTTAGCTGAAACATATAGTGATTGCTTTCTATTGGTTTTGTGTAGTCTTGTAGGTAAATACATTACATTTCATCCAAATGTATTCTCTTCCAATAATCATTTATGATGAGTAAATGCATTGTGGCATAAATTATGCTTCACTTATCAATAAAGCATACAGTTTGAAAAATAATAAACCTGATTTTCCTGAGAGGAATTATGTTTATTTTTCTATCCAACTCCAGCCTTCTGGAAAACAGAGTGATTTATTCCTTGAGACTGTTTGTCTTAGGTGTCAGGAGGAATACATGTATATGATAGAAGAGTACCAGGTAGCTTAACCCTTACATTTTTGTCATACGTGCAGAGAAATTACAGTATGATGTTCACCATTAGCCACCTGGCAGGATCCCTCAGACTCTCTGTCTCCTACTTGTACCCTTTGATCGTAGCCTTACCTGCTGGTTTAAGGGATAGAATTAGCTCAGCTACTGAAATGCCAAACACTGTGGAAGAAGGTTGAAAACAGAAAAAGTTGCTAAAGATCTACTAAAATAACTTGTTTCCTAAGTGATTCCAGATTAATGTCTATATCTTTTGATAAACAATGAAAGAAGAGCAACCAGGTATTTGTCTTTGTGTCAGTATTGGCGTCCTCATTATAATATCATGTCCAACGGTGAAAAAACAAGACAGCAGACACTGCACAGAGATCAAAGATGCAGGAATGATGGACCAAATTTCATGTCAGCGCCTTTCTGCCCTAACACAATCTGAACAACCAATAATTCCATCTGTATCATGTCATCTCTCTTTCAGAACAGGGTGTTTCTAAACAACATTTCCCAAGTTGTGTTACACTTAGTTGATGCTTGGACAAGCCAGCCCTTGCATTCCTGCATTTCTTGGGCACTTAAGGAGTAATTGACTCAACTCCCCCTCTTCTTTTGACCAAAGTTAAAAGGACACATCCAGCTGTTTAAAGGTGGAGGGTTAAGTGTTACCTGTCAGGCATGTTATGTCAGGAAAAAGTCCAGAAATGGACAACACATGTCACCAGACTTTGCTTAGGTTTGAACCAAAAAGAAAAATCCATCTTTGTTGTGCAGTTTTACATATATGACAAAACAATCCCTCAAATGTGTTATGCAAATGCTGATGCAAGGTGATTGGTTTTTCGTTCCTTTTACCTGTCACAATGTACATTTGAATGAATAAACTACTGACCTGCTAATAACTTTGGAGGCATGAACTCTTCTATTTGTGATTGCTTCTGCCAGTGGAATGAGCCACCAGAAACAGCTAAGAAATTGCACTCTCTGCGCTTTACATGGATCTCCTGCTGTTACTTGAGGTTTTACGAGGTGTTACAGTTTGTTTGAAGTTGCTCTTTTTCTACTGTTTCATGCTGTATGAACTAATGAGCTTGGTAACATCTAACCAGTAAACGCTATAGGGGAGGAGTTGAGAACACTGCAGAAAACTGGCCAATCGAAAGGCCCCTGTTTTTCCACCAGTACTTATGGAGAATTGTTCTTTGAGTGCTCAGATCAGACTAGGACCTGAAAGATGCAACAGCAGGTAATAATTACTTTTCACCACAAAACAGGGCTCTTTAATATTTCCTCACTTAGAAAATGACATTGAAAGAAGAAAGAAATTGTGTGCGCATTCTCTGTTTAAATTGTGATTTACTTATGGATTCATAAAAAATATGACTGCTACAGATTTAGAGGAAGACTTTTGAAGAAATTCCAAACATACATGTTTCACATTTCACTTGCCAATATTTTGTAGCTTATTCTTATTCATTTGGTATTTATTATTGTGATATGTCTGTGTGTACATTTTTTAATCCATTTTGGGCTTACATGGCACCTCGTTTTAAGGGATTATTTAATTAAAAACATTAGCATGGGACAAAATGCTCAGTTATTGTATCACTAAACATGTGTGCAATGCAGCATTTGGACATGTCTGGGATTATTTTAAAAGATGATTTCCCTCAAATTCCTTTTAAAGATATTTTATGCATGTATTTGTGTAATTTTGCAATTGCAGATGCGAAGGATGATTTCCCAGGTGTCTCTGTTCAGTGTGCTTTGCTTCCTTTTATCGTTGCCAGGTCTGTTCAAGCAAATATCTGTAAAACTGTTTGTCATCAAAGAATAACTATGCTTTTAAAACATTGTACTCCCCACATGAACAAAATATAATGTCTTTCCACATCTTCGTTTATGCATGCTCAGGGCAGGTGACAGAAATATTTGAGTTTATTGTCCACATGGCCACATGGCATTTTGACGCCGTTGTGTAATGCTTTAAATCCTACCTTTTTCCCCCCGAGACGCTTGCTAACATCTCACTTCCCTCCTTCTAGGTTTGCTGGAGGCAACATCTCTGGTGAAAGTAAAAAATCCAGAAGGTATCTGATCACGTTTTTCTCACATAGCAAACTGATCTGAGGGTAAACAAATTCAAACAAAAATTCCACTGTAAAATACTTAAAGATGACTAATGGTCAACAGATCTGTTTCATTTTCCTGTTTTCTATAGAGTTGTATAGTCTAGACACATTTTGTTGAACTCATGCTCCTTCTTCCATTTTTTCAACAGGAAAGTCACTCAACATTGACTCAGCTCAAGCGCACGATTTCTTGACGAATTCCAGACCTAAGAGAAATATCGACCCAAAATGGTACAGAGGCAATCCAGATTTTCAGTCCTACTACCGCTTTTACAACAGCATAGGGCACATCGAAGGAGTAAGTTTAACATCTTGCATAGAGTTTGTGGTAGTCAGTTAAAATGCTCTACATCCTCAGTGATTGGTCTTTGGGTTTCTCCATCAGCTCTATGAGATCGACAGGATCAGGATGCTGTATCAGCAGATGCGTCATTTGGAGCTGACCTACGGCCCCGACGCTTCCATTTACCAAAATGTCATGGGTGCCCTGGCCAGTACTGCAGCACCAACTACGACAACACAGCCTCCGCCACCTTCCACTCCACCTGCTCCCACACCAGACCCTCTGGAGAATGCTCAGAGGATCTATCTGTGCAACCCCAAAGACCCACTGTGCAAACCCCAAATTGTCTACCTGCCAACGGGAGCAGTTCCAGTACTGTGTGACCCACGGCTCAATCCCGCCTGCGGGCCCAAAACAGAAGAAGAGATAAATGCTGCAGCCCCCCCACCACCAGCCCCGGAGGCTCCTGCTCCTGAGAAATCGGACAAGCCTCCTGCTCCTGTTGTCACGGCCAAAGGTATGGAGTATGACTGTGACCCATACTGGGATCCGGACTGCCTCGTGGACAACCCTCCCAATTCTGCCCAGGAAACTTCTGCACCAATAGCACCCGCTGAGGAGGAGGTGGAAAAAGAGGAGGAGACAACAGCTGAAGAGGATGTCGCAGTCCCACTCGCCTCAGCGACCCAGAAAACCCCCTATGCTTATTTTGATCCTTATGATTTCACACGTGATCTCTATGACCCCTATCGTTATGCTGAGCCAGCTCCTGATCCAGAGTAAAAACAAGTCATTTGATGAGCGATTGCATTCTTTGTAGACCAAGATGAAAAATTGGATAACAAGGCCAAACCAAAACATATAAAAAGGACAGACATATCTCGCAAACTAAAATATGTTAGAGCGCACACAACAGATATCATACTTTTTCCTAATGACAAACCAAATATATCTTTCCTGTACTTGATGCGCAATAAACTTCTGTGTGGAAAAACATCCAAATAAAAAAATTAAAATAAAAAGAATGATGAGTGAAAAAAAGTGTGGTTTCATTTGCATACCGTAGTTTTCATAATTAAAAAAGGTACTGCATTCCTTAAAACTGTTTCTTTGAAGTGTTTTTTTATATTTAAATTTCACCTGAGAACTACTTACCATAAAATGAAACAGTCCTCCTCAAAGACATTGTCAAACATTTTGGTATATATTCTTTAAACACAATATGCATGTAATTGTACAAACTCTACAATAGTACAGAATGGTTTAAATAGGCAATGTTCAACGTGAAAAATCAATAGAACAAATTATTGAATAAACAACAAACAAATAAATAATTAAATGCTACGTAAAACAAGTAGTCTTCGTCTACCGGGACTTTCAAAACAACGCAAGGTGTCGCTCTTTCTGCCAGCAGGGGGCGGTAAATCTTTGGGTTTGGGCCCTAAACCAGAAGAAGACGTGCAAAGCGGAGAAAACTGCTGTCTCTTCCAGCATCATCAACCGTCCTCCATCATCCTGTCTGCAGATTTAGCGTTGATCAAACTGGATTGTATTTCTCGCCTCTCTTTTTAATTTTAACTTCTGATACCAGGTATTTCTTTATTCCGTTTTGATTTTCTTTTTGTTGAGTGGCACCAAGCGGTTCCCTTTGGGCGTTGGTTTGCTGCCGTTATTCTCATTATTCTGACAGCAGGCCCGGTCGCTGCCATGGAGATTAGCATGCTAACACAGCTAACAGTCCGGGCTACTAATGAGATTATAACAATGTTTGACCAATCCTTAGCGACTCAAGGAACTAATACACAGACGCATAAACCGAGTTGAGTACTTATTATAAAGTGACAAGTTCAAAACGGGCATAGGAGCCGTTTTTATTTGCATCATATTTCTGGTTTACCTACTTGTTTTGGGTGGAGTGGAGCATCGCGATGACACAATAACTACACGATTACAACTACATTATCGCGTCATTTTAACCAGCTGTGGCTGCTATATATAATTTTTTTTACAGACATCTCTGATTATACTTTTCTTTCAAACGTTGCCAGCAAGAATAGATAATAAGATGATCAAATTGAAATATTTACTGTCCCAATTTATGTAACTATGAGAATCATAATCACTTGGACTGCACTTTGTATTAAATAGAACGATAAGGTACCATGTCAGCCATTCCGGGTTAGCCGTGATAACATGGTGAAATCGGATAAAGAGTAGATTGTTATCCACAGCTGGCTGCTGTTCACATGTTATCAGTGTGACAAGCCCAGGGCTACTGTGCCTCTCTGTATCAGTGCAGAACTTATGCGCAAAGTTTACAGACTTTAAAGTTTCTTAGTCAAAAGACACAAGAATATTAACAAAAAATTCATAGTTCACTCCTCAGTCTTAGTGTGTGTACATCTTAAAGAAATGTTTTTTTTCTTTACTTTGATTATTTACTTATTTGATTATTGAATTTTTTATAATATTTTAAGAGGTAACGGGATGTAGAAATGAGCAAATGTTTTTTTCTTTGGGTTGCATGAAGAAGTAGTTTGTGTACCTTATACTATAATAGTTCAAATTGAGGGATAGGAAGGTTTCTTGATCTTTGAAGTTTCAGGATTTGTTTCTTCTTTCTGGTTCCAATAAATGTCCCTCACGCAGAATGTCTGACAAGAGTGAATTGAAGGCTGAGCTTGAAAGGAAGAAACAACGAATTGCCCAGATTCGAGAGGAGAAGAAGAGAAAAGAAGAAGAGAAAAAAAAGAAAGACGTGAGTGGTAAAACTGCTGAACTTCTGCTCTAGGTACATTTTGATAGGTTTTCATGCTGAAAATGAGCGTGCTCTGTGCCCTGTAGGGGGACTCAAAACGTGGAGCTGAGGCAGAATCGTCCGGCCATGAAGACTCTGACCTGGAGAGGAAGAGGAGGGAGGCAGAGGCTCTTCTGCAAAGTGTTGGCATCACACCTGATATACCACATGGTAAATCAACATTACAGGCATGCTTCTGTTGTGACCTTACACCTAATGTTCCATCATTTTCTGGTCATTTCCTTAATGAATTTTCAGCATTTACAACAGTCTGTCTTAACGTTCAGAGTTAGCGTGGTGTCACTCTCATTTCTCCCCATGACACACTAAAAATATTTCTGTATTTTACGTGTTTTTTGCATGATGCCTAAAACCTGCCTGCCATTTATTTTCATTTTCTCTTCTCTCCCCGTTGTCTGTCCCTCTTGTGTTTTTTCCACCTTACTGCATGAAAACTCATTCACTCACTCATTCACACACACTTGTTCCATCTTCTTCGCTGTGCTCCCCCACTCACTCACCTATCGCTCACACGCTGCCAACCTCAAACACACTTATTTACAGCTCAGCCCCTGAGGGTAGTAACAGAAGATACATGTTTGTTTCACTACTTAGTCCCTGCCCCCATGTCTCCTTCCAACAAATCAGTGGGCAGCGATGCAGGAAGCCAAGATTCTGGGGATGGAAACGCAGGACCAAGGTCTGTGTGTGTATTTGTGTGTGAGACAAAGAGATGACTGGTTGTTTCATCATTTTTTGTGTGGTTAAGTCTAGTACCTGCATGCCAACTGTATTTGTGTGTTTGTTAACTTGGTTGTTACACTTTAATGAATTTTGTCCTGTCTGGCTTTTTGACGGCACACTGATGTTTCTCAATTAACACACACTTCATTCTTCTTTGTGTTTTTCTTGCTCATTTTCCCTGTCTTTCCCATCTTTATTGTCTTGTATGTGGCTCACTTTTAAAAATTTCGTCCTCTGTTTTGTTTCATCCGCCTCTTGTTTTCCTCTTTCTTTCTCTCTGTCCTCTGTTTTTCTTACTAACACCGTCTGGTGGTTTGGCTGTATAAGGACATTGCATTGGGACCCTGACCCCTCCACTCTGCAACTGCACTCCGACTCTGAGCTGATGGGGTACTGCTCCTCCTTTCCTTAAGCTTGTCTTCCAGCGTTTTGTTGTTTCACTTTAGCCTTGTCAAAATGTGTTAAGACATCGAATGTCTGTACAACATGGTTTATGTCCTCATGTGTGTTATCTGCATACCATGGAATTTGACGTCACAAACATGTCTATTTATTCTTCTGTTACGCTGTACATGTGCAGACGAGGAGCTGTGAGGCTTGGCATGTCCAAATTGACCCAGGTGGACTTCGTCCCAAAGGAAATGGTGTCCTACTCCAAAGAAACACAGACACCCACAGATGCACTATCGCACACTGATCAAAAAGGAGGTAAACAAACATCTTTTCCTCATTTTTCTCCGATGCTTAATAGAAGGATAAATGATTTAATCTGCATGTTTGTGCATTTAAGAAGAAGAAGAAGATGAGGAGATTGCAGCTCCCCCACCAACAGAGGACACTCATGAGGAAAAAGACGAGCAGGGTGAACAGCAGGAGGAGGGTAAGGATTGAAATGGTACTTTTTACGCCTCCATTTTGTTTCTTTTATTGCCTTACCCTTCTAGCACTTCTAGCAACATAAAAACTCTTCCTTTTATTACTAAACTGTCTACTCATAGATACTCCCAAAGAACTGACAGAAGAAGAGAAGCTTCAGGTCCTGCACTCCGATGAATTCTTGTCCTTTTTCGAGCGTGGGAGCAGAATTGTGGAGAGAGCGCTTTCTGAGCAAGTGGATGTCTGCTTTGACTACAGCGGGAGAGATCTTGAGGATAAGGAAGGGTGAGACCAGTGGAGACAAAACGACATTCTCAATTATTACAGAATGGACGGTAGTATGAAGTCATATGTCTTTTTCCACCCCTCCAGTGACTTGCAGGCTGGTGCAAAGCTGGTTCTGAACAGGCAGTTTGCAGACGAGCGCTGGACCAAAAACAGAGTGGTCACCTGTCTCGACTGGTCTCCTCAGGTGGGAAGAAACAAACCTGCTCCAGTAGCTAAGATTTTATTTTTCTGTAGCACAGGATTTGAACTTTTAAACTTATAATTAAGAGATTAATAAGCATTTGAAGAGCCTGTATGGAAAGAAATTCTGTGGGGGAAAAAAACTGTAAATCCTCTTTTGGTTGGTTTTTGCCGTGCACTGTTCCCTCTTGTCTGCTTTTAATTATAACTATGTTCCTCTTAGTATCCTGAGCTGCTGGTGGCCTCATACAACAACAATGAGGATGCTCCACATGAGCCTGATGGTGTGGCACTGGTCTGGAACATGAAATACAAAAAGGCTACCCCTGAGTACATTTTCCACTGCCAGGTAATAGTGAGATCACTTCAGATGCAACTGCCGGACCACAATAATGCTTGAAGTAATATCTTTGTGTTGGGAAATATTCTAGATTTGTTTTTATGTTTTTTCCGGCAGTCAGAGGTCATGTCAGCTGGGTTTGCAAAGTTCCACCCCAACTTGGTGGTGGGAGGGACATACTCTGGACAGATTGTTCTGTGGGATAATAGGAGCAACAAACGAACCCCTGTTCAGAGAACCCCGCTGTCTGCAGCTGCACACACAGTAATGTTAACTCACACATTGTATCGCCACAGCTTTGTCTTCTTTTAACCGCTTCACCTCACCCTAGTGGTGTTTCCTACTTTGCTTGGTAGCATCCCGTCTTCTGTGTCAACGTGGTCGGTACCCAGAATGCTAACAACCTGATCAGCATCTCCACCGACGGCAAGATGTGCTCTTGGAGCCTCGACATGCTCTCCCAGCCGCAGGTACGCCGCCCTTCTGTGATCGACGCATGTTCCTGTAAACGCCAGATGTTTTGTGTGAGCTCTGAGGTTGTGTTTTTAATCTACAGGACAGCCTGGAGCTGGTGTTCAAACAGAGCAAGGCAGTAGCTGTAACATCCATGGCATTTCCTCTTGGAGATGTGAATAACTTTGTGGTGGGGAGTGAAGACGGCTCTGTGTACACAGCCTGCCGCCACGGCAGGTGAGCGCTCCCTGAGCTGTGTATTGATCTTACCGAATGCAATTGATAGCTCTGAGGTCTGGCCTACATGTGGAGGATTAATGTATCACAGAGCTCAACACAGTTGTGTTGTGTGTGTGTTACAGTAAGGCGGGCATCACTGAGGTGTTTGAAGGCCACCATGGTCCTGTGACTGGCCTGAGCTGTCACAGTGCTGGAGGACCCGTCGATTTCTCACACCTCTTCATTTCCTCTTCTTTTGATTGGACCGTCAAACTATGGAGCACAAAGGTGAGCCAGACTCACTCGGGCAGATCTACTGTAATAAGTCAGCTGGTTGTGTTTGCGGACACAGATCCATTCGGTGTGTTCTCCTCCACTGTTGCTGCTGTAGAGCACCCGGCCACTGTACTCATTCGAAGACAGCTGCGACTATGTCTACGATGCCATGTGGTCTCCAGCACATCCTGCTCTGTTTGCCTGCGTGGACCTATCTGGGCGCTTGGACCTGTGGAACCTCAACAACGATACTGAAGTGCGCACACACCCAAACACGCAGAAATGTGCACCGTCTGCAGCGCTATGAACATTCACTAGATTTCAAACACTTACTGTTTACATATTAGTGCACAACTGTCACACAGATCACCTCAAAACATGTTTTTTATTTTAGGTGCCCACGGCCAGCGTATCTGTGGATGGGTCTCTAGCCCTGAACCGCGTAAGATGGTCTCACTCTGGAAAGGAGATCGCCACTGGGGACTCTGAGGGGCAGGTGCAGGTCTATGATGTAGGAGAGGTGAGACTACTCATTCCTTTCAGCATCTGCTTAACTTATTACAGCTGAAAAAGTTGTTTTTTAAACTCCCCTTTCCTGACATGTTTGCATACGTTGATCCTCCTGTAGCAAATCTGCGTGCCCAAGGCAGATGAATGGACGCGCTTCGTCAGGACGCTGGCTGAAATCAACGAGAACCGAGATGAAGCTGAGGAACTGGCCAATGTCTGACGCTAACTAACAGCATAAATTCCTCTCAAGTACACTCCACACCTATAGCACATCACGACACACCCAGAAGGAGCTCAACTCCCCCATGTGGATCGCGCTTTTTTCCGTCCTCCAACTTGGCCTGAGGAGACACGCAGAGCTAAAATGGACAGATATAACAGCTTTAGATGCGTTTTCAACTGTACATTTGTAGCACCAGTGAATGTCTTGTGTATCGGTGGTAGAACAGAGACAATATAGTGGTATAGAATGATGTTAGAAAGTGATTTCCAACTTGAAAGATGTCCACTCTGAACCCTTTAGCTTTGAGTACATCCTCAGGGCCCCAGAAGCTGCTCTTCTCCTGAGGGCCCAGCCAACTCAACTCTTTTTTTAAATATGCAAACCTTTCTACTCGCACCTTTTTATTACCATTTGCGTGTTTTTATGTTGTAATATTTTCTAGACTAGCTTGTGCATGGCTAGCAGACTATTAGAACAGAATGAGAAACGGATCATATCCTCGACAGGGTTTGATGACCACAGCTAATGTGTAAACTCATACGCTCTTGCCTGTGCAGGTGTCTTTATTGCATTTCATTCACTACAATATTTAATATTTATTACAATGGCCGCACTTATTTTGTGTATCGAATTAAAATAAAATGCTTCTTTGTATTGAACATTGAAATAGTTAACTAAAATGAGCACTACAAACTTTGAACAGGTGAAATTAATTTAACTTGGCTTTTGACTTCTATAGTTCAGAGGTGTTTTTCTGCAACAAAGGTTAGATTTTCCCACTCTGGACCTCTATAAGGATGAGCTGATATGGTTCCTTGTTCTCTTAAAAGAGGCTTCAAGTAAACTGTATGATGTTTTTAATTGATATGTAATCCTAATGTTGGAAATTTGAACTGTTGTTTCTTTCCATTTTCCACCCACTCTCCCGATTCCATGCTGCAAAGATCACCCATACCATATGAAACAAACTGTGGCAACCATATTTAATGTGCTAACAGGATGAGCTTTCTCCACCCACTAACAGTACTGTACACTCCTGACACCACCAATGATTGCTCTTTTCTGTTGGAATAAAAACTCTTGACATGTTAGTAAAATTAAAACCATATGGATGATTTATTTCATTAAAATACAATGATTCAATTGAGATACATTTAATTTATTAATACCTAATCATCTGCGCATGATTCTTGTTTTAATCAAGAAAATAGTCCAATTGAAAAGTTCTGTACACCAGTACGAGTGATTCTCAGAGACCAGGACCAAAGGCCCCACGTTGCCATGCCATTACAATTACTGTGTAACGATGCAGGCTGAATGTTACGGAGCTTTTGTTCTGTAACATTCTTCAGTAGTTATACAATATGTACAGTATGTAGCCTCCTGTATGAGGAGTTGCAGAGAAAGAAGCTCCACACACTGTGCAGATCAATATATTATTTCCTATGCCCACTGTCCCATAAGAGAAGTCCTACTCATACTGAGTATCAGACTGAAAACAGAAAAAAAAAATCATCTACTCATGAGTGGCAGATAGGAGTGCCCAAGGTTCGGGTTTAGACAAATACTCAATAGAACACAAAGGATGGAGTTCCCAGGGGGCATACAGCCACTGAAGATAAAAGACAATCGGCGCTCCATTCCAGCCGCCGTCTGCTCTGCAGCAAAGCCTCTACGGCGGTCTTTACCGCTGGAATACACCTTTGCAGGCCGGTGTCGTTTGTTCCTATGTGAATGGACCCTAACGTTTGGAGTGTGTGCCAACCATGTGCTTTGTTTAAATGTTTATCTAAGTGTCTGGCCCCTGGTAAGGAGGACAGGGATGGTGAAGTGATATAAGGATGTAGGTTTTTATGACGCCTGAGCCGGCTTGGCAGTGGCAGGCTCGGGGTGATGTATGGAAACCACGCCGGAGGACTTGAATTTAGGAAGATGGAGGCCGAATTTGTTCTCCACTCCGGCAAAAGTAGCTGCGGCCAGGCGGTAACCTCCGACATGGTCTGCGTTGATGGGAGGAAGCTCAGAGATGCGAGACTTGGGTTTTGGATCCGATCCAGCTGGGCGACTGCAGGGAGAAGAAGAAGAGGTATCACTGATTTTTGGAACATACTTTAAGTTTACTGAAAAATAAGGACATTTTAAGCTTCTATTCTGTTTTTTTCAAATGATCAATTTGTGGCCATCTATAAGCATCAATCCTGTCTGATCATTCCTATGTGTGCTTCATCTTTAACTTACTGTCCTCCAAAGTCTACGTAGAACCATCGCTGCAAGAGCTCATAGGTTACCAAAGTCACACCGAACTGGGGGGAGGACCGGCACATACGAGCTGGGGAAGTCATTATGGAGGTCATTACGGTCAGCGCCAACAATCCAAGGCAATTGATTGAATGTGTAGTTTTTTTTTATAAAGTTTTTAAAAACCCACCTCCAGCTCCCTTCCATAAAGCCCTGAAGCCTTCCTCTCTCATGATCTTCCTGAAGCAGTCAATAACTCCTGAATAAGTGGTCTGTCCTGCCCTAGCTGCAACTTGCAGACGTGTTTTGATGACGTCGGCTGGTGTCACAAGGGAGGCCGCGGGGATACCTACAAACAGTTTAGGAAGATTTATCAAGTTTTCTATTAAAAGTAACCCTTATAAGAGGTACAAAATTAAATTAAAATTAATTCAATTTAATTTAGGATCAACCTGAAAAACCCAATCTAGTCTTACGTATACTGACCAAGTACTGACTGACAGATTCGTGTGTTCTGGGTCATTATCTAAAGTTACCCGCGATCGCTCCCGCTGTGAGAAGCTGCAAAGGTCCCAGTCGTCCATCTTCATCGGCAAATTGAGTCTTAATGTGGGCATACGCTGGGAAATAGATGGCTGAGAAGGGGATGTCTCTTAGGAAGCAAGCTTTGGCACCCTGGAGAGACATAACAAACATTAATAAGAGGAAAGAGAAAAACATGCAGAAGAGATACAAAGGGTGAGTGAAAAATTAAAGATGAGTGAACAACTGGGGGGGGTATTACCTTGTAGAGGCCAAAAAAGCCCAGGTCACGAACCACACTGAGCGCACTGACGCGAGGGCCAGTAGTGATTTCACCTGCCACCTGCAGACGAATCTTCACAATCTCCAGCGGGTTGGTAAAGATCACTTGAGATCCTCCAGCCTGAATAAATGGGTGGAAGAGGTATTTCGAAACATGATAACAACAAAAAACGATACTGCTTCATTTAGACTTAATATATATTCTGGAATTAGGTTAATGTGTAATGCACATTATATATGGCATAATAAACTAAAGAAGGCAATGACTGCATCTATGTTTACTTGTGTTAACTGATGAGTTCACACATAGACGGGAATACCTACGTGTGTGGGACATGGTACTTACACAGCCACCGGCAAGAATTTCAGCAAATAAAGGAATTGTGTTGTCTTTCTCTGTGAATTTATCTCGTACAAAATCATTCATCTGTGGAACACAAATACAACATTAATGCATGCATGTGGGTACGATGATTGAATCTGCTAACCTGATCAAGAGTGCAACTCAAACGTCAAAGAGGCAGAGGAAACTGTTGTCTGAAGGATGAATATGGAGGTTTGAATCACTATGTCAATGAGGGGAAGCACTCACTGTGAGTTTGATAGCCTTCTCTGGTGCCACACCAATGAGCTGAGGAACCAGGCCTGTGGAGCATTCGGAAAAATATGACGAGAAGATGAAAAAACAGGCAAATGTCTGGAGTTCAATGGAATTCGCATGATACCATATAGCTGATTTTAAAGATGAAAGTCCATTGTTATTTAAAGGTTCCTTTGTGGAATTTATGTGGGAGAAAACTGCATTTCTTTTTGATCAATGGAACATTTAGGTTTGAAGTGTTAAAAATCTATCCATGGAGCTAAAAAGCAGAGCTTAGCTTCTCACCCCTGTAGAAGCCAAAGAAGCCCTCGTAACGAAGGACCTTCTTTGCACAGTCAAAGCTGTTTTTGTACATCAGCTCTCCGACAAAGGATCCGGTGGACCTCTGGTTCTGCATTCGAGTCTTCACCAAGTCAATGGGATACACTGCTGTTGCTCCGGTGGCTAACAAACACATAATAATCAGAATTAAGGCAGTCCATTAAATGCGGTCTCAGGCTATGGCAGGTTGATGTATTACAGGGGCAGCTCACCTCCAGCAATGGAGCCCAGAGTGAACCTATAGGCAGACTCAGCAACTTGTAGCATCACGGATCTGGAACCGTCCCCATGGGACTGTAGGAGAGCAGGCATATTACCATGGCGATTCTACATTATACTGTTTATGTCAACGTTTTGTTAAACAGAGACGATCATTTCCCAGCAGCTGCAGGCATCCCACCTGTTTTTGAGTTTCAGCCAGGTTGTAAGGCAGACTCCCCTCCTCTAAAGGAGCTATCCTTTCGATGTCAGCAAGGTTCAAGCGTCTGAAATACACTCTCCGTTATTCATCTACTTTAGTCTTTTTTTCTGTAAATAAATACATGAGCTTGAGATGTTTCAACTGATCAAGTTTGACAGATTATAGTTTTTACCCAGAGGGAGAGTGCAGGCCAGACAGCTGGTACAAGATGTCAATTTCCATCGGAGTGATCTGACCAAACTTGTTGGCGGCATGGACAAATTCCTCTGTAGAATCAAGGTGTGTGTCAAATATTCTGTACGCTCCATGCTTTCTCAGATGGAAATAAAAGCTTATTACACCAAGATATAGAACGAGGGCCAAAATTATTTTAGCTCAGGGAGAAGGCTTCAAAACCAAACTAACACAACAGTGTGGGCACCTTTGGTCACAAGTGTGTCCTTCCGTGTCCCAGCAAGCGTGCTGTAGATCTTCCGTATCAGCTCCATGTTGTTCAGAAGGGAGTTGAAGGCGTTGAAATAAGAGAAACTGACCATGTGAGAGGTGCTGCCACCTGCAGCCTGGTAGAAAAACAAAACAATACTATATGTAAGGGTGTGACTATAAAGAAAAGCTTTAACTCATCTTCACTTATAATCAGTAAGAGCTTGATTAGATCATTAAAAAATTAAAAAACAACAACATTTGGCCTAAAAATGAGGATTCTGCAACATAAGTGTCTACTTTAAAGCATGAATTAAAACAGCTGCAGAGTTACAGGAATATCTGCTGAGTCACACTGATGACTCCTCCGTGTCATCCTGTCACACAGAAACACAGAAATGTCTTTAAGCGAGAAAATACTTTGTTTCACAACAGCTTAAAAGATTATCCAAATAAGAAATTCTCAAAGCACATGCTGTAAAGGTCTGGCATTGTCCTTTGAAGCTAATGACCCCCAGGTGGGAGGCGGAGGAGGATTTGGCTGCCAAGTGTGTAAGATTTTAACAAATCCAAAGAACAGGGCGGACTGTGCTTTTGCTTACAAGGAAGGTATTTAATGGTCTATTCTAAGCTTGCATCTCTCTAGAACACTCACTGAGACAAGGTTCTCCTCCACAAATGGGGTGAGCATATGGTGCCTGATGGTAGCCATAATGTCACTGAAGTCCATTGCGGAGATGACACCATTCTTCCCTTTGTCCTTTTGGGCAAATGCTTGCCGTGCATGCTCCAATTGCAGCTCCTAAAAAACAAAAAAAACAAAACATGGCAGCAAGACGGCTTAGAGTATAACAACAGATTTGAATTTTTGTACAATAAAACAGTAAGTGTGTTAGAAAGAATCCAGCCAAAGAGGAGAGCTACCTGCAGGAACTCGGTGAATTCAAGGTAACTAAGTTGTTTTTTGCGGTCGTGTCCAAAGTGCAGACGGATGAACTCACAGTCCCAGTTGAAGGGAATGTGGTGGTGCACTGTGGTCTGGCTGAAGATGTCTCGCACATTCTCTGCAACACAAAGACGACGTGCATTAAATGTAATCTTCAGCAACTCAGGTTTACTAGGTTTTCAATCAGCCTGAAATTTTTTCCTAGAAAAACCTTTGATGAAACATTTATATGACTTTAACTTAAGCCCAATCAGTGGATAAAAAGAAACAAATACTAAAAAGAGAAACCAATAGACCATACCGAAAGAAATGGTCCCAGTTCCGGTCTTGTCAAACAGCTGAAAGGCTACTATGAAGAGGGCGTCTGGAGCACACAGCACCGACTCAAACGCAAGAAACTCCTGGAAAGAGATCAGCCTACAAAAAAGTGTGGGTGGAACAAAAAAAGCACAAACCAACGTGAATTTTTTTTTCAAATGTTAATGCAACGTTATTAAAAACTTTAAGCTAAATTTAGGTCACACGCACAAAACCAATCACCGTCTAAAACCAGAAAAAAAGAAAGAAAAAAATCACAGGGAGAGCTATCTTATCTGTCAGGAGAAGTACCGATCTGAAATGGCTGCAAACATGATTTGAATGCTGATGATAAGCATTGAGTGTGTGTGTGTGTGTGTGTGTGTGTGTGTACACTGATTACATTAGGACATACCCGTCCTTTGTGGTGTCGGCCACAGCAGCGATGAGCTGGACTGTTTTGGGGTTGTGGTGAATCTGTGTGTGCAGTCCCAGATAATTCTGGACAAAGTCTCCTGGGGTCATGAACCTCTCTCCATCCTTATCCACTATATTGGCATACTGAGGAGGGGGGAAAAAGAAAACAGATCATCAGTCACTGGAGCAATCTGCTTTATCTTCACCTCCTCAAAAAAACTAATCCACCTCCTTCAGTAAATTCACAGCTGTTTCTTTGACATGAATAAATTAATGTGGTATGATCAAAGTCACATGTGAAACACATCCTAAGCTCCACAATTTACATAACCAAGAGTTAATCCATCTTTTACGTTTGCTGTGACCAGCAGTTGTATTATCCATCTCAAAGTGCGTGAGCGGGTAACACGTGGGATCAGCGTTCAGAAGTGTGCAGCAAGAGAGAACAACACTGTGTTAAGTTAAAAATCACCGCTATCAGTCTCACATGCACAATGACTTTGAAGTTTTTTCATTCTGCCCTTATGTTCGACTATGACTTTGTTACAGTGCCAATCATTAACAACACTGGTACAGTCATGGCATGACAAGGAGTCAGAATTACACCAGCCAACGCCTGCGCAGGTATGTGCAGGCTTTTTTTGGCTGAGACTTGTCAGTTATCTGGACCGTGCATGTAACGAACTTAAAACCTTTGGCGCATGTGACTGTCACACGCTGGGTCACACACTTATCATGCAGAAGACGGTGGGTGAGTAAGGTGGAGGTAAACGAAGGCTACTGTCACTGTATCCCACGATCAAACAAGGAGCAGTGCAACTGTCAGGAATGCAATCGTTTTAAACATACGGTACTGTTGTGATACAGTGCTGTCAGCTATTTTAAAATGTTAAAACAACTATTTGTTGAAGAAAAAAAATTCTATTTGGACTTGAACAGAGACTGAAGTCCTGGACTGTTAGAGCAGGGGCTGATGCTCTCTTAGGTCAGTGAGGAGAACTACAACACAAAACATTATGTGTCATATAATACTCTCTCCGACTCCTCTGATAACTACTGCTGCTTTCTCCACATCATGAGCCGTAGTTATTATGCTTTCGCTGCCTCAACTTCTGTCAGCAAAAACAAACCAGGGATGGCCCTCAAATCTTCTGGCAGACATCACAGATGAAAACAATCCTGTGAAAGCACATAAAGACACCAGCCAACACAGTAACATGCAACTACATTATGGTACAAATGTGTGAAAATGTTACCTTCTGGAAAATTGCCTTCAGCTCGTTCGGGTCCCCACGTTTGGTTGATTGCACCTAAAACACACACAGACAAACACACACACGCAATGAACACACGTGCGAACGTTGAAGGGCAAGAACAGCAGAGGTTACTTTAACTAAGTTAAGGTCCTAAAACCGGCTGCTGTTTCAATATAATTTTACAAGCTCTGATTATCAGAGCGAGCAAAACGAAACTGCCATGGGTTGGTGTCTCCTTGAAACAGCCGCCGCAATACACACAGCTGGGGGAGCCACTGCCACGGGAACTTACACAACCAAAGCTCAACAGGACCGAACAAGTTAGGCAACTAATCTGACACACAACCAGCCACAGAGAAACTCTACGTCGTTGTGCTTCAACTAAGGTTTTTCGGGTTACAAGCTAGCAAGTAGAGACTACTATGAAGAGGACACAAACCGTTGCCATGATAGCTTTAGCTTTACATCAGCAAAATGCGAGAGGATGCGAGCAAACGCAAAGATCTCTGCTCCGAAAAGATGTCCCCTGAGCAGATAGAGAGGGGCTGGCATTATCAACGCGTCGTTAACCGTCTCGTTTCGTTTCATTTTTTAGTTTGTACTCGCTAACTTCGAGGTTGTAGATGTCTCATCAAGGCCAACCACCGCCGAGCGGCGGCTAGCCCCAGTGATGCTACGGCTCCGGACCGCACCGCATCCGACACGTCCGACCCGGACATGACCGTAAAGCCTAGCTCCGGACATCCCTACGCGAGGCAGCGAGCGGAATACATGCACACACGGTACTGTAGAGGTTTGAAAATCGCTAAGAGAGCGATGCCCAAGTCACCTTGACCGCCATGCTGGTTGTGACGTCACGCGCAGTGTACGAGCTGATGCGAACCCACGCGCTCCAGTCCCAGGTCTAGAGTCACCCGGGAGGAGCGCTGTGTGGAAAACAACACGGACGAATGGCTACGCCGCAAAGCGAAAATTTAAAGTACTACGCTTCTCAGTGTGAGAGAGGGCCTGTACCTGGTATCCTCATTAAAGGCAGCTTTTAAGCGTCGGCAGCGCTCAAACGCCGAGGCTTATCTAAGCTGAGCATCCTTCCTTCCCCCTTTCTTTGTTTCTTAATAATTTAAGTACCATATAATTGTATAAAACACACACACCGTGATAGGAATCACTATATGAGCTAAGCATTCTGAAATCCATTAACACAAAATACACGGATAAAATATGAACTAAACACCCGAAATGCTGCCCAAAAGGGAAGTGAAGGAAACTCAATTAGCTGTTTTTTTTGGAAATGAGGACCAAAGGCCTCAGATCAGAAGAACCCACTCTTTAGGAATGATGCTGGCAAGAATATATTTCCATTCAATTAACCAGCAGATTTGGGTTGAATTCCAATTGATGAAACATTTTATTTGGCTTATTCTATCAGTTTGCTGGACTTAATCAGAAATTATCTTTAAAATGCTCCATTGATCAGTAAATTAAAGTTTATCTCGTTGACCGTGGTGAGGTGACCATAAAAGGTATTAGCTGTGTTTGCTTTCACTGATAAGCCACTGCCTACTACAATTTGGTGCCAGACTTTCCATAAATTGTATGACTTTGCCTTAATGCTGCTACTAAATTAAATTTGCTTTGTAGTGTTTATCAATGTAGAGGTCAGTAAAAACACATTGTAAAAACCATTATATAATCACAGCTACAACATGTTTGGAAAAAAATTAATTGGCAATGCCGTGCGACCTTACCCAACTTGAATTTGAGTATGTATACATTTGAGAAGGCTATCAGTAATCAATTGGTGGCTATTAGCCAACACAAGTCAGTTGTAATGGAGCCAAAGGCCATCAGATATAGTTCTTTAGTGAACATTTTTTTAAAACTGAAAAAAATATAATAAAATTGATTCATAAACTTAATTGCAGAATAACTATGCCCAAAACTAAACACAGTTTATGTGCTGTTTGCCTAAACTTGATTACCTGCAGTTCTCATGTTATCTTGTTTGCACACTATCATTGATAGAAAATAATTCAAACAAATGATCAGATCAACACTCTGCCCCAGCTTTTTTAATCGTTTGATTCAGTGTGAGTATATCTAATTAGCCTTTGTGCAAATATGATTCAGCTGTTCTTATTTAACTCCCTGAGCCAGATATATTTTTTACTTTTTCTGTCTTTTTTCATATCACGCTTATATGTGAATGTCCTTGTGCTCATAGACATATATAAATAGACATGTTTATATGTCTATGCTTTCAGTCATTTCGTTCTAATAAAGATTTTGGGGAAAAAGTCTCAAAAGTTTAACCCATGTGTGTCACGTGATCGAGTCCCAAAGCACGTGACCATAACAAACATCATGGCTACGGCGGTTCAGTGCTCAGCGGGGCTGATGGCTAGAGCAGGTATGTCGTTGAAGCACAGATACTTAACATTTTAACATTCGTGCTCGTTTAAGTAAATATATGGACAATTATTCAAATAATAATCCAACTCAAATATAGTGATGAAACAAAGTATTTCACCGATATGCGCAGTAAAATGACCGGTCTTTTTCTTCTGTCATAAGCATTTTGGCTAGCTGTGCTACTGTATGGTGACAATGGCCACCCACTCCCAGAACACCAAGAGATCACATGAAGGGCATAGTTGTTTTAAGATAGATAAGTTTGATAATAGTTTATGTTTTTTCTTCAGAAGTGTTCAATAGATGTTTTAAAAAAAGAACATTACACCACAACTCACATAGAAGGCCACTCAAGTCAAAGCAAGTATGCATTAAGACCCCCCCCCCCCCGGGCTGTACGAGCTCAGATCAGTTACAGTCTGCAAAAGACTTAATTTAGCTTCTCTTTACCACTCACAGCTATCGTGTTGAATATTGTCAGAGATCTCAAGATACTGTTGAAACCTTTGAGAAAAAAAACGACTCATATCAACACCAACTATGTAATAAATAGATTAAATAACCTTCTCTGGCACAAAGTAATCATCAACATATTTCTCTTTTCTCATCCTCTTGGTAGCAAAGTGTTAAGTAAAGAAAGAAATTAGTAAATTAGGTATTGATAAATGGGAATTCCAACTAACAGAATGAATTCTTAAGCTATTTATGCATAACAGAAAAGCATGCTCTTCATTATGATAAAAATAAAGCTGTATTTTTCCAGGACTGAAAGGTTTCCTGCAAAGAGTTTGTTGTCTGGGAAGCTGTGGTACCCCCACAGCCTGCTTATGTCAACAATATCGCCGCTTCTTCTGGAGAAAGTGGAAAAATTCTCATAATGTAGTTCGTCCAGCTACAGTTCGACCTTCCTACGCTATTCCTAAGGTACCACTCCCCTCAAAAATCATTTGTGAAAGAGATGTTTCTTAAACAAAGGGTGCTTTACCTTTTTGAATAGGATGTAAAGGCATTATTGAAGTGGATATATTTTTTTCAGTTTACCGTCAGTTTACCGTCAGATTAAACTAACAGTTTGATATTGTGCACTTGACCATTCTCTACTTTGACGTTTACATAAAACTGTCTGTCTCAGCTCAAATGGAATCAGAGATTGGCTCAAAATGACCTTTCAGTGTCAGTGTTATTGACATTCATTGACAAAAAAAAGTTATGACAGAACCACACACACACATACTTGCAGACCTCCCTCAGATGACCTGAGAGGCCTGGTCAGGTTATACACAGTAAGACTGAAGGCACTCCAAAGAACAAAAAACACTATTTAGAAAGTCTCCTTTCTTTGAGTTTCTGCATCTGGTTTCTAATCCCTAAAAAACAACATATTTATGGAGTTCTATAAAAATAATTGCAACCTACTTTAACTTCCCATCTTTTCATCTCGCCCCTGACTCCAGCACATTGTCCGACCTGATTATGTTGGTACTGGGCTGGTCCCAGAATGGCCTGACTACATAGAGATAAAAAACCAAGAGCAAATCGAAGGCCTCACCAGGGCGTGCCAGCTAGCCAGACATGTGCTGCTACTAGCTGGATGCAGCGTGAAAGTAAGTACCGTATCACCCCAAGTCTTGCTTGTGTGTCTGTGTCAACAAGAATAACACAACAGCTCCAAATTTTTGGTCTCAGGCTGGCATGACCACGGACGAGATAGACTTTATTGTGCACCAGGAGACGATAAAGCACAATGCTTACCCTTCCCCTCTCAGATATGGGGGATTCCCCAAGTCGGTGTGTACATCTGTGAACAATGTGGTCTGTCATGGCATACCCGACAGGTAAATGGGTTGGAGGGCAGTCATTTTATTTGCAGAAAAAACACCAGCGATTACTAGAACCTTGTAGAAATTATAACATTTTTGTATGAATTAAGTTGGGGAAAACAGGTTGTTCCTATATGTGTATTTTAAGAAATGTAAAGTAAGATATTGGTGTGTGCTGTAGTATCTCTGTGCTGTTTATGATAACCCAGTGTCTGTAAGTGATTAAACCTTTCCTTGTGCTTTATCACTACAGCCGGAAACTTGAGGATGGGGACATCATCAACATTGATGTCACAGTAAGTTGACTAATAGAATCTTATAGATACTTCTGCCTGTATCAGTATATTAACTGTGGCCCGTACATGACAGGTGTATTTGGAAGGTTACCATGGGGACACTTCAGAAACCTTCTTGATTGGGCAGGTGGATGAGATTGGGCAGCGATTGGTAGAGACTGCCAGGCGTTGCAGGGATGAGGCCATTGCTGTGTGCAAGCCAGGCACACAGCTCTGTGTTATAGGGAACACAATAAGGTATGTGCAGACAATAAAAACGCACGCCAAATACTTTTGTGCTACAATATGAATGGTTTTCTCTTTCAGTAACTGAAGTTTTCTGTTCTGTTGCAGCGAAATAGCCCAAGCCAGTGGCTTTGAAGTGTGCCCCTATTTTATTGGGCATGGAATTGGCTCTTACTTTCATGGGCATCCTGAAATTTGGCACCACGGTGAGTTTTGGTTGTGGAGGTAGGTGATGTGTTAAGAGTTTCCCTAATGCTAAAAATACGCAGCTGTGTGTTCCACCTACCATTTTATCTGCTATTTTAAGATTGGTGAAAGTTCTAATAAATGGTCCTCTTCCATTTTGTTCAAATTTTGTTCATTTCACAAACATGTTTTCAACAGAAAAAAATTATCTTGCTAAGATTCACTCACAATTCTTGTTGAGGCTTGATTTAAACCTTGTATGTATCACCTGTGTTTGTTGCACATTTGTTTGTCAGAAGATAAATTATTTGGGTATCTATGGGTTAAGTATAATGAAAGAAGTTGTTTATTTTCAGCCAATGACAATGACATAACCATGGATGAAGGGATGACGTTTACAATTGGCAAGTTACACTTTCTAATTCCGTATTGTGTGCAAAAAAACAACTGTGCTTTTCTGTGGAGTTGATGATGTCTGCTGATGCTTCGCTGTTAGAGCCCATACTGATGGAGGGGTCTGCAGAGTTTAGAATCCTTAAGGACAAGTGGACTGCTGTGTCGGTGGATGATAAAAGGTGTGTGGTGCTAAAAACTAATTAAAATAGATTTTCGTTAAGCTAAGAAATATAGAAAAACAGATTAGTTCATACATTTACATACCCCTGCAGAATGTTTTTCTTTCTTGGCCTTTTTCAGAGAATATGAATGATAACACAAAAACTTTATTTCTTCTCCTGGTTAGTGGTTGAGTGAAGCCATTTATTGATAAACAACTGTCATAACTATTTTTAACAAAAACATCCAAATTCCCCAAATGAAAAGTTTACATACCCCAGTTCTTAATACTGTGTATTGCCCCCTCTAACATCAATGACAGCTTTAAATATTTTGTGGTCATTGTTGATGAAGACATTGAATTTCTCAACTAAGCATCTTTACCAGTATTTCTTTCTCTTAAAAAATTGTAGTTTGGCATTTTTAAGTCCTGCAAGGGTATTTCGTTTCAAATGTTTTCCTGATCTTTTCATATGTATTTTATCAAACAGGTCGGCTCAGTTTGAACACACGGTGCTCATCACAGCTGACGGAGTGGAGATTTTAACCAAACTACCTGAAGAGAATGGTCTGGGACATGACAGTTAATCAAATGAGGATTCAAACTAGTTTGGTGAAATAAAACAATACAAAGCAAAACTGGACTAATGGTTTTACAAGGGGATCCTCCACAACTATGCTTGTCTTTCAAAGTAAACTTTGTTTTCCTGATAACCCTTGTCTTTGGCAATGACTACACATTTTGTATTGTTGTACAATCCCAAAATTGATTGTAATATTTTTTTCTTATTTTTTCAGTAATGAATTCTTTTTTAAAATACTTTATTTTACAAGGTAAAAATTATTTGAACAGTAACCATCTACATGCCAATAATCTCTGATACAGAGCACTGAAATGACCATTTACTCATCAGCAGCCCAAAATAAAAAATAAATAGCCGATAAAATCCCAGAAACATATTGAAGCATTTTTGGTACGGCATTGGATAAGGAAAACAAACAAATATTTTTTAGAAAGAATACAGGTTAAATCAGTGAGACATTGTGTTATGGTGTCCAGTAGATGTCACAATACTACACAATACCTACATCACGTCTAACATCATTTTCCAGAGGGAAGGACATTCATTCTGAATTTATTAATTTCCCACTAAAATTACAGATAACTCATTTGTAATCACAGTATAGAAGTCCATCATACTGATTAAGAAGGTGTCACAATGACAGTAATTGAGACAACATCATTCAACCACGTATAAAGTAATATTGTTATTAAGCCTGTATGATACTTGAATTCATTTGCTAGATATCATTGTTTTTTAAGGTGGTACATGGCGCTTCAGATGTAAATTTCAGGCACAGCAACATCATAAGCACTGTACTGCTTCACCACAATCTTTGAGATGATGTCTGTAGATGATGTCGTAAAGAGCAGAACAGGAGAATATTGCTGCTCATACGACATTCTTGCTACAGGTAAGATAGAAATAAATTTGGTAAAAGGAACTTGAAGTAAATATGTGTTATTTGAATAAATCTTCCCAGTATTTGTTTATAATACGCAAATACATTTAATTTGATTGTTTATTAATTAATTAAACTCCAGCAATGTAACTTGGGAGGCTTGGTGAGTTCAATGTGCATCATGTGATTAAAAAAAGAGACTTATTGGATTTGAGCCCACAGCAGGCTCTGTGTTTTCTCTTTCCTCCAACTTGCTCTTTGAGTAGTCATGCCAAAAACTCGTTTGTGGGCGAAGCACCACGGATATGGCAAATAAAGGTGGGTCAGCTAATTTGGAGTCTGGAGTCTGGTCACATCCAGCCAGGAAATGGTTCATGTATTCAATTCAATTAACTGCTCAACATTAAAAAACAAGAGTTATGTGTGTCTGTTGTTTTCTTTTTCTTACTACCACTCAACTCCAGAGACTAAATCCAACTGACACACAGGGTGTGGTGTAAATCTCCAAGGAATCAGTTATGTACACAGTTTTAGACTGTCAGTCAGTGGTGCATAATTCAGGATGACTAACAAAAAAATGAAGAAACATAGGCAATGTGAAAGACAGGAGATTTAGTGAAAGTAAAGTGCCGCAGACATTTGGTCCGATAAAGGAACAGGGATTTGGGAGGAGCAGGGAGTGGCAGAGTGAGGTGTTTGGACTCTTAGTTAGAGTCCCTGTCTTACATTTTTTTCTACAAGTTTGGACTCATTCGGGAACTCCGGCACAGCATTTTTCTTTTGAATCCTCTGCTGAATATACTGAGGATCACTATCAGCATAGAAATTACTTTGAAAACTGTGACATTTTTCACAGTTGTTTCATCTAAAATTTGTACTTTAAACTCAGCTCCTGTCAGTACTTTTGTCAAATAAAACAAGACAATAGGGAAATGTTTTACACTTTTTCTGTGGGACCACGACCACTGTCTAAAAGGTCTTAAAATATGTATCTTTTCTAAATTCCACATTTCATTGCCTAACATCAATGGATCTACATAAGCTCACAAGTCAAGACTTTTCTGGGAAAAAATGGCTTTTTTGTAGCCGTTGCTACATTTGGGGTCTTTAATAATTACATAGCAAGATTCTTTGAGGTTCAAGTCACTGCTAGAACTTACTGCCACACCCTGTGAGTGGATTATAAGGTAGTGGACTAGTGACAAACAGAATAAAACTTTTGTTTTGTTTTTTTGCTTTGAGTCAAAATCCCAAACTCTGATTTTAACTGCACTTACTGACTGAAACTGTGGAACATGCACGTTCAGAATGTATCTCTGTGTTCAAATAGTTCTGTGTCAACCTAATAAATGGATCAAGTTTTCCTGTTTTTCTGGCCGTCTCACATTCCAGGTGTGCATGTCTACATCACTACATGTGTGTGAGAGTCCGACTGTGACATATCACATCTACCTGGGACTTCTCTGTGTTGAGAACCACAAAAATTCTCAGTTTCCTAGGTGACCGGTGAGATTGTGCCATTAACAAAGTGATGTATCATTTTTGAACCAGTGCAAACAGATCTGTCTCTCCCATGCATGCACCGATGACAGCTTATGAATCTTAGACCAGTCACCACCTCAGTTTGTCAATTCACCTGAGGCCCAAACAGAAACAGACAAGTCTGTCTCTTGGAACTGAGCATGCATAGTGCCGGGGCATGTAGCCACATGATAACACTGAGATGATGAACTCCTACAGAGTTAAATGGTTTCTTCAGATTGAGATGGTATACAATTGAAGATAAAAGTCGTATTAAAGAATGATTTGAATGCATTTAAAGTAGTCTTTGTAAGCACTGTCTTAGATTCTCCAAATATGCATTCTAGATGATGTTTCCAAACTCACATGTGACTACAGTGATGGAATAGCCAACAAACAATGATAAAAACTTTATTAACTTCTATGTTGTTCAAAATAAACAAGCAAATGCAACTGAAAATTAGTTCTATACGTGATAAAGCCTTTTGAATTAAATTGAGTCACTGTAAGACAGCCATTCCGTAGACTGTTTTAATCTGTTTTATCTGTTGACTCATTTTCCTTAAAATGAGTCAACATTAAGGATAGACCTCTGGTTAATCTTTTATAGCTCAAGTGTATGTAAAAAAAGAACTAACTAGTGGAACACAAAAAGCACAGAGAAGGTCGTTCTCAATCAATATTAACAAGGGGTAAACTTTTTTCTTTTGACCTCTTGACTCTTTTTCAATGTAAGGAATTCTTTCAGACCTTGACGACCAGTGTGTGTGTTTATAGTTTGACTGAGACCATTTTACAAGGTCTCTGATAAATCTTTGTTTGCGTCTGGTGATTCACAGACACAAACATCCCATACTGTAGATACACAAAATGAGTGCAGTGCATTGCAATATTATTCTATTTAGACCTGAGGAAAGCTATATAAGATTAAAATTATATAATTTTAACCATTAGTTGTGTGCACAGTCCTTAAAATGAAATCTGTACAGCTTTGGATCACATCAGCTGTAACTTAATGTTATAATTTGTCTTGACCTTAACATTGCACACATTCCCAGATGTATTTCTGTGTGTGCATAGTATGTGGAGGTCCTTTTCATTGAGCCAAAAAGAATAGAGGGATGATGGAGGAATTTCGGACACAATCCATGTTCAGTTCTGGAGCCCCCACCCGAATCTGTGCTATTTAAGCAAATAAGGATTTATGTCCATGATTGTGTGCGAAATACCAATTAGTGCCATCCCATAATATATGCCCCATCTAGCTGCCAAAAGAAGTCATTATGGGCGGACAGAGCTTTGCTGAGCCTTGAGTTATGGACATTTCCAATGCACTGGTGTGTGAATGGCATGTTTGTGTGAGTGTTGCCTGAATTATAATGATGAATGGAGAAGTAGTTTCATCGCCATGGCACCATGATACAATTTCCCTGTTACGTTTTCATTGTAATGCTTAAACAAATAGATTAAACATTTTACAGTGGAAATAAGCACTTATTGGCAATGACTTTGTGACACTAAGGTATAGTACTGCTCTGAACGAAATGCTTACATCGGCTATGAGCATGCAATCTTACGGCTGGTGAGCTGCAACTTGTTGGTATGTAACAACAGATACACACACATGGCGCTGATGGAAATTTAGTCAGTTCTGTTGTTCAGTGTGAAAATATTCTGGAGTATGACTTCAGGCTTGTCTGTGAGGCTTCTGTGAGCAGCAGAAAATGTTGGCTAGGGTGACTTTTGGCGTTTGGGCACAGAGAAGGCAGTGTTTCATTTTCAGAGCTGTTGAAGCAGATCCGTCTCATACGCATATGCACTCACGATAGGAATTGAATTTAAGTGAGTAAGCTGCTAAGTATGATATTAGTCAAAGCAGCTCGGGGCCAAACAAAAACAGCTGAGTTTGTCTGCAGGAAAAAAAAATGGTTAACGGTACCAGGAGACATCATAGTGAATAAAAATATACAAATCAGAAACTGATCAAATATTACCACCATTAACATAGCTTCAACTTAGTTATTGTGGGAATTGCTGTAACTAACTTTTTGGAGACTTTATGGAGTCTAGGAGAAAAGAATCCAGGAGCTGCTGTGGATCAGTCAAAGGCCAAACCTGATTATACTGTTGCTTCAATGAACTGAAGCAACTCTGTGAAGAAGAGTTAGACTAAATATCTCTATTATATTGTGAGAGATTGATAGCCTCAAAAAGATGTTTTTACTGCCAAAGTTGATTCTACAGGCTGAATCATGGCGTGTACTCAGTTTTTCCAAAATGCTCAGATCTCCCCCACTTGCCCCATGTCAGGAGTGCTATTTCTCAAACAAACCATTGTACTTATCACTTTTAATGAGACCTTGCTGCTTGAGATGTGCTTTAATTCTTACAGCGAGTGATGGAAAACCCAAAACTAATTCTATTCATGAGTTGGGGGGGAATTTTTTAGTGTAACTCACTTCACAGGAAATAATCCAATGTTCTTATCAGTGGCAAGTGTCAAGTAGACTGCTTGTAAATTGAGATGAGCTTCTGCTGCCAGACCGAGATTACAGAGGGTGAACTTTTGTCACACAGGTTACCCAGCATATTTTAAACACACCTAAATCCATCAACAATGGGGCCCAGTCCCACAACTATACCATCTCATATTACTTCATCTGAGCAGAGTTCGGAAAAAGCACAGGCTTACACTCGCAGCGCTTATTCATGAGCCAAATGCATGAAGAGGTATAAAAGACTTTTATGGCACTACTTTACCAGAAGGGACATCAATAACTTGTTGACTTTATTCAATAAAGTCATTACGACATGTGGAGGATCTGTCATAGCCTTCACTTCCTCAAGTGCGAGATATTAGGTCTTCCCAACCTATTGGATCAATAATGTGCAGAGAGGACAGTGAATAGATTGTAAATCCCCACCTTATCCTTACAGTGTTGCTCGATTGCAAATTGACAGTCCTGTTTTTACAGAACATGAAACACACCTCATCCTAAACAATGTGGAGACCATTGTGATAACAATGATAATAATTTAAACACACGAACATGTTCAAAATCAAGATGGAATTTGAATGCATCATTTTCCATTTTCAGGATCTGTTTCTGTTCTGGTTTGCCAAAATGAACACGAGCACGCTGATTTCCTGTTCTGTTTTATGAACCTCCGGGAGAAAGTGCCGTGTGATTATGCTCTGTAGCTCTGAATGGTCTTGGGACTGGAGTTAAATGTGATTGGGAAACAAATGTGTCCCAAGGCTACATGTTATAATAGAGTCATAAACACTCCCTGATGGTGCCACACCTTTCGGTCGGTGGGCGTTCCCGTAACGCACCTGAAGCTACAGCTTTAAGAACAAACACGGGGCTGTTGCTTGGGCGAGTCCTTGTGCTGCCTTTTCAACTCATGTGAGTGTGTCACTGCAGATTTTTGTTCCACCCCTCCCACATCTGCTTAAAAACCTGAGGGAATGTTTTTGCTCCTCTCCTGCTGAACATGGTGTTCACAGAAAGTACACATGACTCAGTTTTTCATTCTTACCAGATATCATTTGAATAATGTGCTACTTTGTGCCACGCAGTACACCCGTTAACCCTTTAAAGCCTGATCCAAGAAAAAACTTTTGTTGTCTTTATTTGACCCTTTAACAAATTATGAATAAAAGTAAACAGCAATTATTTTTTAATATTTAGTATTTATTACGGTTTGATAAGACAATATCATTGTCATGTAGTCTTCTGGTTGCGTTATCAGGTATATCTGATTGTGCTCAAAAGGGTTTTGAGCAAAGTTTTTACCATTAAATGATGCAAAAGGACTCATTTTAAAACATTTCAGAAACCGTATGTATCAGATATGATACAAATGGCATCATAGGGTTAAAGAACAATAG